GTACACAATTACACTATATCTAGCCACACATCCCTGGCGATATACGCGCCCTAACCCTTGATCCTGAGACTCAAGCTCATATCATGGCACCATACTTATATATATATAATCTAGTAACCATCCTATCCAGTATAAATTAATCCTTCATAAGTCATTCAACTTGTTCAGCTGATCTGACGTGAATATAAGTAGGACTTAACATTTTAGTTAATCCATTCCCTTATATAATAAATTAATCCTCTATAAGTCATTCAACTTGTTCAGCTGACCTGACTTAAATATAAGTAGGACTTAACATTTTAGTTAATCCATTCCCTTATATAAAATAGGTAGAACTTAACTGATAAGTTAATTCATCCCTAGAATGCCACCGTCCCATACCGGTGCATTAAACCACACAATCCAACAATTGATGTAACAATTAAGGAAAATACATCAAACATTCCATAAATAACTATGATAAATATGATATCAAGTTATCACATAATAGGAATGACTTATTATTTCTTTAAACTTTCTATATCATATGTCCTACACAAACTGAATCTTATACATGATGATATTTTATTATACCGTTAAATAAGGATTCTCTATATCCAATTCATTCTACACATTTAATCTCAATTGCTAAAACATTTTAAAAGATTAAATTCATTCGTTTGTTTAAAACATTCAAATAGCAAGCATCATTATGATTGAGTCTATTTAAATTCATTAAAACCCAAACCTAATCCCTATTTAATGTTCAGGAATCCTAGGCATGTTTCTACGTTCCATCGTTCCACAGATATGAAAAATACATAATTTAAACATGTAAAAATTCACATAAGAAATCAAATCAAAATCATGAATTTTATCAATTCATAACACAAGAACAGATATGAACCAATTTCATAAAACCTATGTTCTAACCCAATTAAACATGCATAATTATTTAATTTTATGTGTTTAATAAATCCTGGAATTTCCTAGGCATGTACAGAAACACGAATCAAAGGGAAAGAGATAGAAGAAGAACTTGCCTTAAACTTTCGGATCGAAAGTTAAACTTCTTCTTCCTTGATCTTCTCTCTACAGGGTTTTTCTCCTCATTCCTTCCTTTTCCTCCTTACCTCTCTAACACTATCTCTCCAGTATATATCACGTGAATATTTCTAACCCCCTTTTACAACCTATAGCTATATATTTATCGGCTAAATAAAATAACCCTAACCCTTTTCCCAATCCAAGTCAACTAAAAAAAAAAAAATGAAAAAAAAAATATTAAAAAGGTAAGCAAAATATGTTACGTATATAATTTATGTATATGTTTATTAAATAAATAAATTATACACATTCCATTATTTATTAATGGATTATCCAATAATATTTAAGTTACCAGAATATTATAAAGTAACTTAAAACATAACACGTATCAAATCTATGTATATTTTATTATTTAAATAAATATATACATCAGATTAAATATTACTACCCAAATTACCATAAAAGTAATTAATAAATTACTTTCTCTTTTATATATATATTAAAAGGTAAGTAAAATATGTTACGTATATAATTTATGTATATGTTTATTAAATAAATAAATTATACACATTCCCTTATTTATTAATGGATTATCCAATAATACTTAAGTTACCATAATATTATAAAGTAACTTAAAACATAACACGTATCAAATCTATGTATATTTTTATTATTTAAATATAAAACATATATATCAGATTAAATATTACTATCCAAGTTACCATAAAAATAATTAATAAACTACTTTCCTTTTTATATATGTATATAATATATATCTATATATATACATACATTATCCATGGGTAATAATCCATACACATCCAACCTCCTATCCAAGTAGTCCATGGGACCCAATTGGTTGGCCCATTACTACTAACCATAAAATAAAATAAAACATTTAATCATTTAATTTACAATTAATTACAATTAATCAAATACATCATTTAAGCACACAATCTAATTAAACAAATAATACAAATAACACCTAGACAAAATACAAATAACACATAGATAAGTAGCCAATTAATCAAGTAACACTTAATTCAATTAAACACATAAACAATTAGTCAAATAATCAATTAAACAATTAAAAAAAATACAATAAAAATAAATAAATAAATACCGAGACTATCCTTTTAAAATTAGTAGTATTACAGTTGCCCCCCATTCCCAAGCTTGCACGTCTAGCTTTGGGAATGTAATAAATAATAATAATAATATATATATATATATTTTTTCCAACCCTTGTGAACAGTCCCCGCGAGTACTATTCGCGTGAATAGTAACTCATGATTTTTTTTTCAACTCCTGTGAACAGTACCCGCGGGTACTATTCATGTGAATAGTAACTAAGGGAATTTTTTTTTTAAATACCCCTGTGAACAGTACCCGCGGGCACTATTCACGTGAATAGTAACTCAGGAATTTTTTTTTTTTTTTTTTTTTTTTTTTTTTTTTTGCACCCGAGGGAACAGTACTCTTCCTTTGATAAGGGAATAAATTGTATGAGTTTCACTCCTTTAATACGGGAATTGAACTTTACGAGTTTTACTCAGCTCACTTCTTTAATAAATGATTTTTATTTACTATCCCTTATTGTAAGGGGATATTAATTACGGGATTCATCCAACCCGGGTCCTTGTAGTACAGGATATTCATTTATTATCCTTTATATTACGGGGATATGGATTACGGGATTCATTCAGCCCGGGTCCTGATAATACAAGATACTTATCCTTATAGTCCGGGGATATGGATGACGGGATTCATTCAGCCCGGGTCCTTATAATACAGGACACTCATTTACTATTCCCTTATAGTACGGGGATACGGATTACGGGATTCACTCAGCCCGGGTCGGACACTCATTTACTATCCCTTATAGTACGGGGATACGGATTACAGGATTTACTCATCCCGGGTCCTTATACTACGGGACACTCATTTATTATCCCTTATAGTACGGGGATATTGCACGTATAAACTAAAAAGAATTTTATTAAAGACCATCATTGCCTAAAGGCTTATTAAAAACAAAAAAACATGTGATGGAGCTACCCTCCATTTAAAATGATAAACTAAGATGCCTCCAGTCTTTATTGTGAATGACTTGATAAGGCTAATTCCAGCCGTGAGACAATTTCTAGTCGGTATACTCATCTGAGTCCTTCTCATGATATGTGCTGTCGCTCTGGCTGAAGAACGATTTCTTATATTTAGTATTATTTTCATCCCGGGGTGATGTATTCTCGAATCGACTCTTCCTTTTGTTGCTCCACGGTAAACAGGTAGGTAGCCGGCCTCCTATGCCTCTGACCTGCAATGAAGTGGCTCACAAACTGCTTACTCAATTCTTCAAATGTGTTGATGGTTCCTGGCTTCAACTTGTTGAACCAAACTTTCGCTGATCCCTTAAGTGTAGTGGGAAAAGCTTGGCACATGATTTCATCTGGCACAATATGTAAATGCATAAGAGCTTGAAAAGTTTCCAGGTGATCGAAGGGATCTTTGGTCCCATCGAAGCTTTCGAACGAGGGCATCCTGAACTTGCTAGGTAGTGGACATTTCATAACGGCGGGGCTGAAAAGCAGGTTGGTCCTTTGTACCTGGTCATCTACGGCGGCATGACCTTTCCCTTTCATAGCCTGCATTACATCTTCCATTTTTCCCTTAAGATCCTTGATCTGCAAGTCGATATGGGTAACTTTCTAGGTCTTTTTCTTAAGACAGAAGGCTATGCTTTCAGGAGGTCGGGAACTCCGTGGGAGAGATGGGTGAACCACCTCTCTACGTCGGGTTCCCACCTGGCTTTGTTCGACTTCAGTCTCATTTTTGGGGGAATGATTATCCTTCTCTTCAAGATTCCCATTACCTCCGTTTGGACTTGAGAGATCTTGTCCTGGAAAGTTTTGTTGAACTGGTGGAACAAGTGTTGCAAGAGTATTGCATTTTGCTGGATCAACTAGTTCATACCCTGACTCAGAGTTTGAACCTGCAGTTCCAACGCTGCAAGCCGTGCCTGGTCGTTTAGGACGTCCAGGTTTTCACCCGACTCTACCCTTTGACCAGATCCCTGCGACGGTGTTCCTTCGGTAACCATACCGGACTGCAAACTTATATACCCAACGAGTACTTAATTGATTCAAGGGAATCGTCGTTCCCACAAACGGCGCCAACTGTTGAGGCTGAAATTTGCGCAGTCCGATACGATACCGTTTTCCTGCAAGGAAGAGAGGAGAAGATCGATGAACCTTGACGGCACCGGTGTGGTGCCTGCCAAGAGCTCTCCGACGATCAAATTAGTCACGGAGGTTTAAAAAGATGGCAGGGATTAATAATAGTTTTTACGTCGTACCTTCTTTAATAGCTTGGTGCCTTCTTTATGGCTGTCGATTGGAATCAAAATTGTTCCGCCGATATCGATGGTTGATCTTATCTCCTGCTTGTGTGAAATCATAGGAGATTTGTTGCCAGATTTGTCGGGATATAATTTAATCCTTTTGACCTCCTCCAGTTATAATAGGATTATTCTTACCTGTTGTATTATGTCAGATTTCATTATATTTGATAATGAAATCTAATCAATCTTATCGAGGGTAGGATATGTTTATATTTTTCCCTATCAGTTTGAATGGAGGGAATTGAAGGGATCGTGAATGAAAGGAAATGACATGTTGGAAAAAAGTTAATTGCTTTTGGATGAGTTCAAATAATAATAAATAAAAAAAAGAAAGAATAGGCTCCTTATTCATCTTGTTCTAATATTTTTATAATTCTAAAACTCCTCTCAATAATTTTTTTTTTAAAATTATTAATCTACTCATATCTTATTTATTTAAAATAGTACATAATAATTTAATTAGTATTTGTTTTTTCAATTACAATAAAAATTATTGCTACGTAGTATCTTTTATTTTCTCTTCTCTGTAACTAAACTAAGCCTTAAAAAAACCTCTACCCCTCCTCTCTCTCTCTCTCTCTCTCTCTCTCCCCAAAACCCTAGATGTAAGAATGGCATCAAGAGATCTCATCACAAGCTACTCGAAGCTCCTCTCTCGAATGGCTGTTCGTTCCCTTCGCACCTTCGCTTATTCCGACTCCAATTCCGAATCATATATTCCAACTAACAATTCGGACTCGGACTCGTGCTCCAAACAACTTCCTCACGCTGAAGGTAAGAAAAACAGAGCATTCAATCGATTCCTAAAAGAAGGACCAGCATATCCCTGCAAAGATGATGATCAACACTTGATCAATGTAATTATTTGACTTGAATAAGATTGCCCTTTGCTGCGTTCTTCGCATAGCATATATAACAATTTTTTGTATTTTTTTTTTCTTCATAGTGTTGTGGAAGACTTTTGGTTTACCTTTAAATTTGGTTTGGGCTTGAATTTGGATATTCTGTAGGAGTTCAAATTCAAATGGAAATTACATCTTCATCTGTCATATCATATTTGGCTGACTAATTCTTGCATTGTTAGCCGCAAATGATGATGAGGAACACTTGCGACAGCCGGCAATGGTTTATAAGCTTAGAGCCTGATGCAGTTAGAGATGTTGTGAGTAATACCTTTTTTACTAATGAAGCTGGTGATGCAATCAACGGTGAGGGCCCAGGTAGGTGTGTTTATGATGCATGTTCCCTCATTTTTCATAACTTATCCATTCGAATGATATAATTTTGTTACAAGTTATGTGATCCAAAAGCTCTATTTATAGCTTATGAGCTTAGAGCCTGATGCAGTTGTATATTTTCATTGTTTTAACCTCTACTTCTCTGTTCATTTGCATTATCCTCGTAATATGGTGCACAATTTTTTTTTTTTTTTTTTAATATTTGTCATTTGAAAAAAAAAAAAAAAAATCCATTTTGAATTTGGGTAGGAGCATCCTATAGATTGATACCCCATATTTAAAGAGATAAAAGGAAAAAGAAAAATATGGAGGGGGGAATTTGTAAATCTTATATCTAGGTATCCTAGTGGGATTCAAATGAATACGTAAAACATGGATATTATTTGTTCGGAGATTCGGAGATTTGGTATGTTCAATCTATAGTTGTTACATAACAGTACTTATTCATTTTTCACAAAATTCATTTCTACTTCGATTCTTAATTAGTTATGACCAAACCTGGACTGAGAACAGAACTCAAGTCATGGTCATGATAAGAGCATGAATTTGAGGTTGCAGTTTACAATTATGAAAAAATTGAACCAGAAAGCAATGCAAATATTAGTTGAAGTTACATTTCTTATCCATTATTGAAGTGCTAATGCTGCTGCTTCTTATTCTTCTTCAATTTTTTTTTTTTTTTTTTTTGGTGATAACTAACATATCATAGAATAGCGCTTGAACGCATCCCAAATACAAATCTCACAGCCAAAACAATATGCTATTTCCTCAAACTATCCTTAAAAATCATCGTATCCTCTGCAAATTTATAATTTCAACCATTTACAGTAACAACTAACAAAATAAGAATAGAGAATTTGAGTGCCCAAATAGGAGTCTCCTCCCCATCAAAAGATCCCCTATTACTCTCTCTCCCAAATACCCGACCACGAGCAAAGAGGAGCAACCATCCAAGCATCTCGAGTTTGCTTCCTCATTGTACATCCTCTCCAAGCTGTAAGCATGCTTTAGGTAGAATTAGGCATGACCAAAGAAACACCAAAGCAAACAAGAATAAAGCCCCATTCCAGTCACCGGGCAATGCAAGAGTAGATGGTTTATCGACTCTCATCCATCTTACGCATACAACGACGATCAGATACGCAGCCTACGCCTTCTCTGGAGGTTATCTATTGTCAGAATCCTCCATAAAGTTCTTCACCCAAAGAAAGCTACCTTTAAAGGGGTTTTGGTGTGCCAAATTGCCTTCCAAGGAAAAAGGCAATCCCTCCACGTTCAATAATCACTTATAAAGGGCGAACCTCAAAAGTCAAATCTCCAATGAGAAGCCACTCCCATGCCCACTCATCCTCCTCCCCACTACCTATCTACTGATTGTACAACATCCCCTGGAGCTCAACAGAGTCCTCCACCTTCCAATCTTGGGATGGTCTTATGAATTGTGTTATACAAAATCGGTCTCCTGTTATGAAGGCGATAGCAATCGGCTATTGCAGGAAGTTTATGTGCTGCAATCCGAAACAGTCTCAGAAAAACCACCGGAATGTGAGTGCATGCATAAGATGCCCAGTGAGTGTTAAAGAAGAAATAAAAGAGGACATTAAGAAGAAAAAGAGCAAATGAATTTGTTCCGAATGATGATATTAATATCATTCATGGAGAGGATAAGGAAAGGTCAAATTGCCATCATTTATTGCTATAATTCCAGAACATCAGTTCCATGCTTGTCGTTGCTAGTTTTAAAAAATGAAGAAAAAAGTCCGTAATGAAAGCATATTGCCCAGAGTTTGAAATGGTTTTGAAGATCTAATTCAGTTTGAATTTTTGCATTGTGTTTAGCTATACACCCTGCCTAATTGTACAGCGTGGCTATGCCACACAGGCGACACCCGAGCGGTAAGGACTTTACATGATGACTACCACGTGGCATGAGGCAAGTGGAGTGCTAGTGTATTCCAGCTTAGTGTAGAGAAATATACAGTATTGTAGAGAGAGTCGGAAGATTTTAGAATATTGGAGAACATGTAAATATGTAGAGAAGTAGAGAAGAGAAGATTTTAGATGAGTAGGGAATTTTGTTGAGTTTGTAAATACGTAAAATATGTATGAAGTTAAGAGAGTGGTGAGGAGGCCTATAAATAGATGACTAGTGTCATATGTAACCAACAAGTCCTAGAGTGTGAGTTGAGAGCCAAGTGTCGTTTGTAACCAAGTTCTAGAGTGTGAGTTGAGAGCTAAATAGAGAACTTGAGCTAGCCTTGTACAAAGCATTCTTTGTAGTAATAGAAGTGTTCATTCCTTGTACAACGCATTCCTATACAATATGATTAACTGGTTTATAATTACATGTTTAAGCAGCAAATTTATGTTTTGGAGAGTTGTCCGATTAATTTTCCAAGAGATGGTATATTTGCATGTATTTGGCGTCCGCCACCTGTTGGTTGGCACAAGTTAAACGTCTCTGGGTTTTTTTAAGGAAAATCTTGGTGGGACTAAAGAAGCTTCTTGTGGAGAAGTATTCCGAGATTGTAAGGGAATGATTTTGGAAATTTCCATAAGCCACTTCCTGATGCAACGTCTAGAGATGAAGTATTCTTACTTGGAGTGCATCATGGGATTGATGAAATTCTCTGAAGTAAATCAGAAGTAAAGGAAATGATATTTGAGATTGACCATAAAACAATTGTCAAGGTGCTAAATGATGAGAAGCGTATACCAGTGGAGTATTTAGAACTTTTTAATTACGCTTTTTGTATAAAGTTTGGGTTTATTCTTTAAATTTAGATTTCTGTTTTCAATTATATTGATATAAAAACTATTGTTTTGCACAAAAATTATTGATATGTTGAAAAATTTTGATGTTTATCACATAAAGTTTCTACATCCTCAAGGAAATGCTATAGCTAATAGAGTTGCGTATATAGCTTCACGTTTGACCTTGGGAGTTGGGACAAAGTTTTCCGAAAGGCAAAAGAGGTTTTGAGACACAAGTCATGTGTGATCAATTGAAGATTCCACGACATGAGACATGAGATCTATCCGAAAAAAGGAATTGAAGCTGAAGAATCATCGGATAACGAATCATCCAATGGCGAATCGTCTGATGAGGAATTGTCTTCAGACAAATCTGAAGTCAGGCACTTTTACTTTACTTTTTAAAATGTATTTTAAATTCCTGAAAAGAAAAAGTTATTAGGCGTGATCTTTTGTTGTTCACCTGGCATTGAAAACAAAAATAAATAATAGGGGGAAATTTAAATGGGCTCTATTTCATTAGTATCAAAGTAATCCTAGTAAGTTTGTGTCTTCTATATATTATAAACTCTACATAATGACAATTACACTTTTTTCTGCTATTTTTTCTAGGTTTTAGGGGCAACATGGTATTTGCTGTCAGTTGACGTGCTGGAAATCATACTGCAAGAGGGATTGCAACAAAGATTCTGGCCCTACAAAATGCCGCCTTAATTATTTGGAATGTGATGCTCTTGACCATGAGGATTGCAAGAATTGGGCAAATTGTAGAAATTTTATTAAGGGTTGGATCCTGAGAATGTTATCAAGTACGTAATATTTAAAAAAGCAGTGACAAAAAGTGTGTGGCCTCCCCAAAGTTTCTTGAAAAGTAAATTTTTTATTGTTTGTGATTGGGTTTCCAAAAATTTAGGAATGTTTTATCCAATGGGTATCACTTGCATCCACAAACACTTCGTTGTTTTTATTTCATTACTATTACTAAATATTACCGTCAGTTCTCTGTGGATTCTGTAAACATTTTATTCTAATGGGGCTCAACCGATAATTGAAATCTTAGTGCTTAGAGATAAAAATGGAAGAATATTAACAAACCAACTTGGTGAGATTGATTTTTCAATCCTTGAAGCTGGTCTAATAATCTCTCATTACCTGTTCCAAAACCTATATAAATTTGTTATACATATAAGCACAATGAGTTGCATGGACCATTTGTTCCGGTGAGAAGACCGAGCATCAACGACCCAATGGTAGTGACCAAACCAGACGGTGAAGATGAAGAACTTTGAATTCCGTCAAGAAAAAGATGAAGAACTTCAGTGACCCATCATCTCCGGCGAGTTGAGGACCCTTGCCCAGATCAAGTGTCCATTATTACACAATGGTCAAGTCAATATTAATGGGTGGTCATGGTTTGTCACTTCTATAGCTCTTATGAAAAAAAAAAAAAAAATTATTCAATGTCCAAATTTAGAATTAATGAATTATAAGTTTTCAAGGTGATATGTAATTAATGTATTGTTTTCTTTTAAAATTATTAATTTGTCTTAGTTTAAGGGCTAGTTTGGTATGAAGAAATGAAATAAGGTAGGAATGAAATGAACTAGGGAATGAAATGAGAACCCATTCATTCGTTTGGTCATGACTTAAGAAGGAAAATTAAACGTAAATATATATTTTCGATGTATATTTGGAAATTAAAGAAGAAATATCAAGAAAAAATTGACTTTTGTTGGATCTCCTAAGTAAAGCCATTTTTAATGTTATTTTGGGCGAATTACAAAAAAAAACCCTTGACTATTACCCATTTGTAAGAAACCCCATTGTGAATGTTTTTGGCAAGAAACTCCCCTCAACTATGAGAAGGGGGTGATTTAACTTACCTCCGTTTAACAATCTGAATTTTTTCTGAACAAATTACCCTTACATTTGGGTTAGTAGCTTCAGTTGGGTCTTCACCAAAAAAATAAAAAAATCTCCCACACTTTCTAATAACTGTAAGAAAAAAAGAGAGCAATATATATTTACCACCCATTAATCAACCAAATGGAGCGCAGTTCAATGACCTAGCTTAAAAAACAATATATCCCTTAGAGAGAGAGAGTGCTTCGGAGCTTTTTGCAAGCAGCATACTGGAGATTCCTGTGTGTTCATTTTCGTCGCTGTCATGAAACAGGAAACCAAAAAAAAAAAATAGTATCAAATAGTAACACACAGGGTTTGTTGACTTGAATCACAATAACAAATTTATGAAATTTAAGAACTTCAATATAACATTATGGATTTTATGTGTAAAACTTGCATAGTGTTTCTACTAAATCTATTTATTACAAAAGTTAAAGTGAAATCATGGAAATGTGATCAATATATGATGAGTTTGAAACAAGCTTGAGATGCACAGAACAAAATTACACATCGAGTGTCTTGTGTTGCGAGACTGTTGTGTCCTTTCCTCTCTATTGGCAAACCATTGAACTGTTCTTCTTGCAATTGGCAACCAAAGCCTCCTCAATCTTTCCTCCTTGACATTATTTTCAGGAAGAGAAGTGTCTCTATTACTATTTCTCATGCCCAACTCTGTGAATCTTGGATGAACTGTTATATCTGACATCGATCTGTGTGTGTTGGGATTCAAAAATCTTGATGTTTGACTTTGATTTATTTTGGACTCCAAAGTGTTAGGAAGATCTGAATCAGTTTGGTTGATTTTATTGACCCTGCTCTCAAACACTCTCTCCCTCTCCATCTCCTCCTTGATCTTCAAAATTTCTGTGTCTTCAACCCCACTTGGTGTCGCGGATTGATCATTATTTACATCCAAGGAAGAGAATCTATTGCTTGACATAGCATTAAGGATCTCCGAATTCAGGAGCATGAGGTCAGAAGAACTCACACTGCTCCATCTATTCTTGAGGACCACATCAGACATAATGATCCTGTGATTGAACTTATGTAGAGCTTTTTCATTTTCGTCGCTGTCACAATCTACTTGGATGGGAAATTCTTCTTCTTTCTTACCCTTTTCAGATTTCCTAAAGCTGCTTCCAATGCTAAATCTCGAAGAACCATGATGGTCTTCCTCTCTCTGGACAAAAAGCTCCATGGTTGAGTACACGAAGTATGTAAGGTCATCAGCACTGACCTTAACCCTGCAAAGAGGACAGCTTGAGTGCTTCTCCAGCCATTGTCTTCGAACTTGGATATGTAAGGGTAACTTGGTCAGAAAAAATTGCCTCACAAAATTGTTAAATGGAGGTAAGTTAAATCACCCCCTCCTCATAGTTGAGGGGATTTCTAGCCAAAAACATTTACAAGGGAAATTTCTTACAAATGGGTAATAGTCAAAGGGTTTTTTTTGCAATTCGCCCTATTATTTTTGCTCCGTACTTTTTTTAAGTGATCCTCTTGTTGGAAATTGAATGATTTTGATGAAATGACTATTCCAAGAAAGGAGGGGAATGAATATTCCATCTTTAAAATTACTTTGTGAATGAAATTAAAAGCATTGCATTCCACTTTATAGGGAAAAGTGCACAAAAAACCCCTGTACTATGGAAAAATCTACAACTAACCCCTTGAACTACCAAAAATGCAAGAAACCCCCCTGAACTATGCAAAAAAGTTACAGATCACCCCATCCGGTGACCAGCCGTCCAGTAATGAGCACGTGAGAATCACGCGACAAACAAACTGAGTTTTTTGGCCAATAATGCCCTTCCATATATAAAAATACCAAATTGTCCTCTAACCACCACCACCACCGTCTACGACCACCAACATAACCACCACGAAACCCCCCTGAACTCATGCCAAAACACACCGTTAAACCAAATCAAACCCACCACCATCACTACCACCTCCATCGGCATCTCAACGGCACACCATTAAAACCAATACACAAACCGACTACCACCCCAATCCCGCCACCCATCTCTGCAAACCCAAAACCACCACCGCACATCACCCTATTCCAGTAACCAAATGACACATCAAACCCATAACCACCACCACGTTCAACCAAAAGCATCACCGCTCCTCCACCCAAAACCTCCACAATCACCACTCATCCCCATCACAAAGCCAACACCAATTGGAATATATATATATATATATAGTTTGGCTTTGGTTGTATCATCAGCTTCGGCTCTGATTCTCTCTCTCTCTCTCTCTGTGCAGAAAAATGAGGCCCAAAGACAGGTCGCTGTGGATAATTGAGGGTAATGTTGTCTTTTGGCTTTTCCAGCACCCTATTGTTAGTTCAAAGGGGTTAAATGCAACAATTTGTTAGTTCAAGGAGGTTTTATGTAGTTCAACGGAATTAGTTGCAAAACCCCAATAGTACAGAAGGATTTTTTGCACTTTTCCCTGCTTTATATTATATAAGGGGAAAAGTCTGAAAAACATCCCTATAGTTTTAAATTTGTGCGAATTACACCCCCATAATTTAATTTGGGTCAGAATTCCGATAAAAAATAGATATTAATTGGTCATGTGCATGGTACATAACCATTTTAAACCCTTTATTCCCAAAATTACCCTTCTAATATTTCTTTAGTACCCTTCATCATATATATATATGATTGTACTGATTTTTCCTGAAGTATGATTCAATTGATTTTCCTTTTGATTAATTTATTAATTTGTTATTAATATATTATATATAAAAAAATGTATTTTTTTAGGGTAAAAATTTGTAAATCGAGTATAATAAATTTCATTATAAATAGTTAAGTTTCATATTAATGATTCCTTACTTTAATACAATAGGTTTTTTTTTTTTTTTTTTTTTTTTCCATAATTGATACTCACACACGCATGCCACTAGGGGTGTTCAAAAAATCCAGTAAACCGAAAACCAGACCGGGCCGTACTGAATTGGGCAGTTTGGGCTAGTTGTATAGCCGTTTGGGCTAGTTGTATAGCGGTTTGGTCCAGTCCTGGGCCCAAAATTATGGAACCGTAATTTTTCGGTCCGGTCTTGGTTTAGGGTCGTGCTAGACCAGATTAGCTCGAACCGAACCGTTATTATGTTATTCTTTATGTATATACATAAAATCATATCCTAAACCTAAATCAAGTAAAGTTCTCACGTGCCCCATTTCTTTCTTTTATTCTTTAAATTTCTTAATTTCTTTAAAAATAAGTCAAATTTCTCTTTTCAAATATATCTCAATTTTCTTTCCTTTATTTCTTCTTAAAATTCTTCTTTTTTTTTTCTTTTTTCTTTTTTTTTTTTTTTTTTGCGTGTTATATCAATGTTGGTTGATTTTTTAGGAAAAAAAAAAAAAAACTTTGCCCCCTTTAAATTAAAATAAAATAAAAAGAAAATCTACCGAAACCGACAAACCGAACCGAGCCGAACCGATTTTTCGCAGTTTGGTTTGGTTTGGTTCAAAATAGTGGAACCGTTATAAATAGTTTAGTCTCAAAATACAATCAATCTGGTCCAAACCGGACCATGTGCACCCCTAGATGCCTCTTTGGAGGCTAGAATTCTTGACATTCCTCTGAAAAGTAAGGGCCAATACTACTAGGCCCGTTGGTAATACAATAAGATTCTTAATAGGCATACGCAAACCCAAATGATTTAATAATAGATTTTTATTTTAATACAATTTAGGGTACTAATCAAATATATAATTATATAATCTTATTAAAAAAAATTTAAAATATTATTAACTCCAATATTGTATTTTCCTTACTTTTTTTTTTTTTTTTTGAATTATATTACACTCCACTAACATTGCACGTGCGCTTTACTGGTGTGATAATAAATTCATTCTATAAGCGTATGATAATATTGGGACATCCTAATTCTAAAATTAATACTTAACAAATTCTACCGAAAATTGAGTGATTCAAGCTAAAGTAACAATACAATTAATAAAAAGATATGAAAAGGCATAAAATGTCATAATTTATTATTTTTTAGAATCAAGGCATAAAATGTCAGAATTTGTTCCTCCTATTTATTATCGTGGTCATAAATCATAAATAATTAATTGAAGAAAAAAACATAAATTTCAATTATTCATCCTCAGTTAGGCATAAAATGTCATAATTTATTACTTTTCAGTACATAAAATGTCATAATTTGTTCCTCCTATTTATTATCTGCGTCATAAATCATAAATAATTAATTGAAGAAAAATAAATAAATTTTAATTATTCATCCTTAGGCATAAAATGTCATAATTTATTATTTTATTTCTCAAATAGTCCAATGAAAATTACTAATTCATGATTATATACAAGTAACCTTTATGCTAGACTCCAAATACAATCAATTTTAGTCTACGGTTAAGTACATGAAATTAACAAACTGGAACATGCATTTAAAATTGTTTAAATATTTTATTGAGTTAGTATGAACATCAAACAAATTTAACAATTGAAAACATAGAGTTACAAGACTAACTTACTAAGGCTTCCTCTCAGCCAAAGTTGAGAGATTAGAACTCAAATAAATAATAAAATAACAACTATAAAACACGGCATCATGAGTAGAAGAAGGATCTTCTGTATTTTATTTGTCACTTGCATAAGCCTCCCAGCTTTGCTTCTTAAGAAAATGCACGGCCATTAGGGCCCTTATAACAGCTTCCATTTACAATTCAAACAGTGGCCAAGTCAACCCCCAGTGCAATCATGAGTCCATTGACTACAGTAAGACAGTATAATTTTCATTATCCATAAAGATCCAATCCAAACAGGTAATAATTCAATCACCAAAAATTCCATATGCACACTAATCAAATCAAAATCAAAACATATTGTAGAGGTAATTATTTGTAAAAGCTGAAGATAGGGCAAGAGGATATGCCAAAGTTGAGTTGTCGATCATACAATATTGATCAACAAATGAAACTCAAGGAATAAATTTGAAATGAATAGACAAAAATTCAAAATGCAGGAAAAGCAATCAGTACCTTATTTGCCAATCATATGCAAGTTAACCTCTTCTTGATTGCTAATGCCAAGGAGGCAAACTGATTTCTTGATAGAAGATATGCCGCAGATACTATCATTGCTGGGGGTCTAGGGATTCTCGAAAAGTTAACACTTATAGCAACACGATCTGTCTTTTTATCCATGAGCGGGAATGTAACGTATGACCGTGATGAAGGCGTAAAAACAAGGGGCCCATATTCGATGAATGTTCTAAAAGTTTTATATATGACCGAACTCTGTTCAAAAATACACAAAAAGCATACTTGTTAAGGCTCAAGGTATACACTAAAGCGCCAAAGGTCTCCTGGAGCCCAAGCGCAAGGCACAATACAAGGCAAGAGACTGATAAAAGGCGCATGTATGATAAAGAAGCATATTAAAGATTAATTTAATAAAAATTATTGAACTATGCAACACATACTAGTCAATATCAAAATAAAGAAATCTTTCCAACATTTCAATGATGTGCAAAAATCATATCAAAATAATAATTCTATAAAAATGGGATTTTTGACCTATCAAGCTAAGAGGATCTGGTAAACTGATGTTGCATAAATCATTTCTTAGGCGTATAAATTTAGTAAATTAGATGTGACAATAAAAAGCTATGATCAAGTAGACATTAAACATATACAATCATGTTTATTTAGAATCAAAATGAATGCAATTAATGTAATAAGTCAACCATAAATCTATGAATTTGTCAAATATATCATAAAGTCAAACAATATGATCCATTAAATATGATCGTGATATTATACAAAACATTTTAATTTAATGGTCATTAAATAAAGGACGTAAAATGAGAGAGTCTGGGGGCTTGGGCTTGGCCTTTAGTAGGTCGAAGCACTCTTAACTGAGCCTTGACAAGCCTGGGGCTTTTTTGGATACAAGGCACACTTTTAATGTTGATCAACATTCCCACTTTGTTACTTCTTTATCCAAGAAAAAAAAAAATAATGAAACAAAAATTACAAGTACACATACAAGGGTACCAATATTTCTCTAAAAGTGAGTCCAACTCATTGATAGTTTGGCATTCCACTGTCGTAAGGATTTAATTGGTAATATTGTTGAAATAATAAAAAAATGGAAGAAAGACATCCTCAACATCCCCGACTTGCTACTTCTTTATCCCAAAAAAGAAAAAGAAAAAAAATACATTTAATGAAACAAGAATTACAAGTAGACAAGGTTACAAAAATTTCTCTAAAAGTGAGTCTTACTAATTTAATGTTTGACATTCAATTGTTGTCAACAGGCTATCACACATAGAACCTTTGGATTAAATGAGGTTGGAAGGAAAACAAAACACGTGACTTTTGGTGCTCATATATAGCCAAAGAAATTTGCTAATTGTAGAAGTTATACATATATCTTTTTCCAGAATTTCAAGCAAATTGTATAAAACAATAAAATGAAAAAAGTGGACAAGTCCACCGGATAAGATCTCTAAGTGAGAGACCAGGCCCAATTAGAAACCACCACTTATAAATGGGAATACGATACAAAAAAAGCCAAAATAAACCCAAGCCCAGTAACAATTCTCAAGCCGATCTCAAGTCAAGAGGCTTCCTTGGAGGATGGCAGGAGGAGGGGGAGATACCCCAGATGAGCAAAACACGACAAGATTGGGGTGAATCTTTCAAAAACCCACCCATGAGCCTCTCCATGATGGAGGAACAGATTTGGTCCAAAACATGGTTCAGCGAGGAGATCTTGCCTCTGAAAACCCAAGCATTTCGTTTGATTTCCAGTGGTGGGATGACGCATTAAAAGACCTATCAATATTGAACTCATGATGTTGGCTGACTCAGTAGACTTAGTAATATGCTACATACAAATAATTTTCTGGTGTTCTTTTATCAACAAAATCATATAGAACCATCGCCCTGAAAGGTAGAGGAACATGTATATGGTTTATAGATGAAAGGGGTCAGAATTAGTTTGGTTTGGTAAGTGATCGATTGCTAGATTGTAGATACAAAAACTTTTCCGCACTAATGAAGTAATGCAACCCTAAGGTTACCTAGATTCAGATTATTAAGAACAATTTTTTGGGGTATAAATAAAAAATTGTGGAGAATATCGTGGAACGGCTCTTAATAGACACAAGACCAAATCTGAGATTATGTAAAATGCACCTCTAGCCTTGAAAGCTTCATGCTTTGATAGACTAAAAAAAAGGGATATAATAGAGGATGCAGAAAAGTACGTAAAAGTATGAAAGTAAAGAGTAGATTTCAATAATATTGTAATGAGAGCCTGGAATAGTCAGGACTATGCAAATGGCCAGGACTATGCAAATGGCCACATAAGACACTTCCAAAACCCAACTGAAGTTACTGAACATACAGGAAGAAAGAGAGTAATGCAATATAAGATGAATAGAGGGAAGATGAAGAGTAGAGAGAGGCAGCAAAAACATTTGGAATTTTTCCAATCAACCCAACCATAGTTTTGGGAATGGGTAAGAAAAAGATAAGCCACGAGATCATCACCCTCGTTTTCCAAACCTCCAGTGCTAAGATCCTATGTAGGTAGAATCAATGCATCATATAACCAACCACACATAGGTGATCCTCAAATGCCACATAAAAAAGCTGATAATATAGTAGCATCAACCTCGGATATGAGAAACACCAAAAATGAGTGTTTGCTAGGTCGGGAGGAATGATAAGTGGATGGGAGAGAGATGAGTTGCTCAAGTATTCATGAATATAATTCTTAACAGCACACAAAAAGATTAAAATTTATACTTCAAAATATGTGAAGCAAGAATTTACCATCCCTAATGAGAAAAACATCAGCAAGGACAAACTACTGTCTATGTCTCTTACCTTTTCCTTGGAAAAACTGTTAGACAGTGAGGGAGGTGGCATGCAGAGATCCTTTGAATAAGACCTCAATGTTAAACTCTCTTCTGTGTAAAACAAAACATAACAAAATCAGACTACTTTAAGGCCCCGTTTGGTTAGATATAACTAAGCAAGAAAAGAAAAGAAATGAAAAATGAAAGAAAAGTGAAGTGAATGAAAAGAAAAGTTATTTTCTATCAAGCATTTGGTTAGCATGAAAATTTATTCAAGAAAATTGTATGAAAATATTAGTTTGTTAGTTTGGATAGCATGAAAATGAAAAGAAAGTGATTGTGCATACCAAAATTACCCTTATGATTTCAAATACTAAAAAAATAAATAAATTTGTGTTTGATGATATCTATTTTTATCAAAGTTTTAAAAAAAATGATGAATTATAAAGTTAATAATATAATTATTTATATTCATTTATATTGTATAAAATAAAACAATACTTCAAGACTTCTTAGGTAGAACCATAGAAGTAAAACTAACTATTCATTTAAAAGGAATAAGGAGGCTTAAAAATAAAATAAAAAATAAAAAATTTGGGCTCATGGACTCATGGGCTTTCAACTAGAGAACACAAAAAAGCAAAACATATATTATTCTATGTATATATAATAGAGGGGTATATATATATATATATATATATATATATCAAATACAATGTATATATTTGGAACCCAAAAAAAAAAATCGTCCAAATAGTATTGCAAAAGAACATGTTTAGAGAGAACTTGCCTTTTAGAAGTCCACTAAAATAGAAATTGTTAGAAAACTTGACTCTTTGAAACTCAGTAGAAAAGAAACTCAGTTAGAAAAGAAAGAAGTTAGTTGTTTTACATGATTCAGTTGTTGGAAAAAATAGGAACTTTAAATAAAAAGAAGCAGTTTTCAAGAGAAAATATTATTTCCTCGTGTTTTATGTGAGAAAAGTTTTGGGGGAAACTAGTCTAATGTGGGAAACTATATTTTCTATTACGATTCTTTTTCCATCTATCCAAACTCTAAAAAAATTTAAAAATTTTCTCTTTCCTTTCTTTTCTAGTTGATTCCATCTAATCAAACAAAGCCTAATGGATTTTTTCTGGAAAATTCCTTTGAAGCATGAGTCACTTGAAGTGGAAATCAACCAATCACCTAATTCTTCCGTTGCCTCTTTGATACTTTCACTTTCACTATGGCATTTTAATGTCACGAAAAAATAAACATGCATTAGAATACTAGAGCTTATTCAAAATCAAATCACCTAAAGAAAGAGAGATAAGAAGATACAAAATTTTCACCGATCAACTGAACAAAGTAATTAGCTGCCAAACCAGTCAATGTCACTTAAATCAACATCTTTGTCGTTTATAACAAACCCGGCTCTCTCAAGCAGCGCCTTAATGTCGTTGACCACCTTTTCTTTTGGAATCTATAAGAAAACATTAAGGGAGTAACTTTGTGAAGTGTTGGGTCAAAACTTAAAACATGAGGAAACTGGTAGTAATACGAGTTGAAAGATGACCTCTTTCATTCAAAAGGAAAAACAACTAGCATTCACAACACCCCCGTGGTTTGCCTCTTTGACACCCAATTCTTTCATAGTGACACCTCCTCAGATTCGCTCCATTAGACAAAGACACTCCGTGAACGCTCCGGCACATGGTAAAATGACCTGAATGCCCTTTTACTTGTGAAGTGACACTTTGAATAGTTAAATTACCAATCAACCCATTCTAACTAATTTTAAATGTCCAAAATAACCTCTTCATCTCAACCACCTACCCACAATGCTGCCACCACCACCACCCACAGCCACCACCTCTTCTTTCTTCTCTTCCTTCTCTCTCTAAAACACATACATTGCAATCCTCTGCAACCACTACTCCATGGTCGAACCATCAAGGTCCAGACCACCCTCAATCACCCCAATTGAAGTCTTCGCCATTCAAGATGGCCCCATATAACCCCTGCACTGACAAAACAAATAACTAATGAACCAATGAAGGCAAGTCATGCAATTTCATTCCACCAAACACCTTCTGTAAAACCTCCCTATGCCTTCCCTTATCAAGAAACAAAAAGTTCTCTCCATAATGTTTATATTTATAAAAATTTCCTCCATTTATTGGGGGAAAAAAAAAAAACAACAAAAAACAAAAAACAAAAAAAACAAAAAAAAAAAAAAAAACAAAAGTTCTCTAAAAAATGACACCATCTTCACCATCAAAACCTTAAACCAATCACAACCAAAACACGAAAGAAACGAAAATTCTCCAAAAATTGACGCCATCTTCACCATCAAAACCATAAACCAATCACAACCAAGCAACAATCACAAAACACGGCAGACGTGGCTCGCCAAAGCCTACATCCACAATGAAGTTCCGGTGAAAGCATTCACTATGCAAAAATCTGGTAGGTACAAGTTTCAACCCCCAAACCCTTTCTCTCGCTCTATTTTCTACGATTTTCAGTGTCTATCTATATCCCACTCCAAACCCTAAACGCCCATTATATATCGGGCTACAAGAGGGTACTAAACAAGGCGTAGTTGCGACCCTAGAACCAAACTCAGGCCACAACATCACTGATTCTAAGTAATTGAGTTGTCAATAGTGGTAAAGGCTAGGGATTCAGAGGTGTGTGGTAGTTGGGTGATTAGAGTGGTGGAGTATGGCGAAGGGAGTGATGGATGTGGGTGGTTGGAGTGGTGGAGGTGGACTATTGAAAAAGAGAGTGAGAGAGAGAGGAAGGGTGGAAGAGAGAGTGTCCCAATTGAAATGTGTAGAGAGGGAAGGTGACAGCTGATTGTGGTGGTGGAGGAGAGAGAGACGTAATTGAGGTGTATAGGGGTGTTTTTGTCTGCCTCGGTTTCGAGGTCGAGCAAGGCTTCAATGGCGAACGAGTTGGACTCAACTGAGTTGGGGTTCGGGTTGGTATGTGATTGATGCGAAGCTTGTTTTAATGGTGGTAGTGGGGTGAAGGTTGCGGTGGTGAGTGGGGAGAGAGAAAAAGAAGGGGCAGGTGGTGGTGGGCGGCGATGGTGGGTGGTGTTGGAAATGGTCGGTGGTGGGGTAAGCTAAAAATGTGAGAAAAGCATTAAAAATGGGTCTTTTGGTTTTAGGGGCAAAGTAGTCTTTTGGTTTCTCTATTTTTTATAATAAAAGAGCATTAAAAAATTAGGGCAATTTAGACATTTCACACATTTTCAATGTGGAAAAGCTAACGGGAGGTGTGACTTTCAAAAACATTGCCAAGTTCTATCTGGGTGACAAAGGCAAACCACATGGGGGTCAGTGTAATTTTTAATAGGTATAAATATCATAACCAAATAAATTTCTACACAATTTCTGGAAGAAAAGAAAAAAAGTTTAAATCTATGAATGTTGCAAACAATATGAGAATTACAATAAATCGCAAGAAACAAGCACAAAAACCATAAAAAACACAGATCATAACAACTTACTTCACTTTGTACTAATTGCCTGTATTTTTCAAGAGCAACACCAGCCTTCTCAAACACTTTGAGCAACAATATTCCCCGCATCATCGCTGCCTTAATATCGTTAAGCGACCGAACCAACTTACCAATCTTATTAATTCCGAGCAACTTGCTTTCATCTTGAGTTAGTCCTACAATCTCGTCAACCAACTTATCATTCTTGTGACTTCCGATCAATTTGAATTCATCTTCAGTTAGTCCTACAATCTCTTCAATGATGCTTTTGAGTATTGACATGCTCAAAGGGTTAACTTTTCTCGAGCAACCAACAGTAGAGTAGCCATCTCAATAAGTTCTCCCTCCATAGCATAATGAATAAATACTTTATCAACTTCCTTTGTGTTCCATGCCAGCAACCTATTAATTTCTAATGGTACTTTCTGCCACATTTAACCATAATAAGCAACAAACAGAAAGGAAAAAAAAAAAAATAGATCAGACCACTCAACCCATTCAAATGTATAGAAAGTAAACATTATTTGTAATACACATAAATTTTGTCTAAACAAACCATTTGGGGCAGACAAAAGAACAACGATCAACTTGAAGATAGATTGTTTTGGGGTCCAATCAATCAAGGATCGATGATAACTGCATCAGCCACATTAAAAATACAATCAAGAAAAAGGGAAAAGAATTAGGTAGTTAAGAATGATGTATTAAACCTTGATCTAAGTTCATATTATAGGCCCCATGAAAGATATAAGAAAGAATAATTTTATATTATAAAATCTGTCTTCTACCTTACTGTTTCAAGTGATACGTTGAGAGGAAACAAGTCGCCCCTAAATTCACCCTCTATGGTTCTGCATCAGTCCGAGCTCCATGGCAAAGTAATGTCGCAATCATTTCATATGATAAACTATTAGCTGCTAAATGCAATGGATATAATCCATCGTTAAAGGGAATATTGAGATCAGCGATGAAACCAGTCTCCCCTCCGAGAAAAGCGATGGCACAATCTATTATGCCAAACTGACAAATTTGATACAAAATTATTGGTGGGCAATATTTACCTTGTTAATCAGATGATTCCTTCTTTCCAACTTCTTCTGTTTTTGGTACTTTTCTTTGAAATAGCTCATTCATAAAAGAGAGAAATAGAGGTTTGCCATCATAACAAACAATTTCTTCTTTAGATGAGCATATCCAACCTGTCATTATTTGAACAACACTAACATCAACACGTGAAGACGACCACAAAAAGATAATAGCGCATATCATTAAAATAAATGCACGAACAGTAATATAAGTAAGAAAAAGGGAGCCCCGATCCTCTGCTGTAATCTCCCTTGCTGTAGTGGTGCCATAGGGTTTTTCAACACAATTACACCTGTTTTCAACATATTACATATGCCCCAATTACAACAGAGGAGATTATAAGTGAGGATCCGAGTGCATGAAAAGGGAATGTGAATGTATTCAAGTTTAAGTAGACACCTCAGACATCCTTGCCCCAATTACAGTATCTGCTCTGAATTCTGACCTCCTTAAAAGGCACTCCAATATAAGAATAACCTTCAGAAGGAAAAAAAAAAAAAAAAAACATAATCGAAATAAACAACTAAATCACAATGGGGAGGCAATCACATAATTATATACTGTACTTCAATTCAGTTTATAGTGCAAAATAACTACTAGAGAATGGAATCCCAACATTCGTCGGATGCACAAAAGGGTTTATGCACTTGTGTATAAAAAACATAAAAGCTCGCATACGAAACAAGAGGCCATTACTGGCCTAGTTGATAGAGCACCTAGCTCCTCGAGCAGGTGTGCCCGAGTTCAAATCCCCACTCCACCTAGTTTGCGAAGGGAAAAAAAAAAACAAAACAAAACAAAACAAAACATATGAAACAAGACAAACTTAATCCCTACCACTCGCGCCTGTTAAGGTACATAAGCCGATGCTATGTATTTGCTACAATCAGATCTACACCAAATCAAACTAGGTAGAGAATATCTGAATCCAAAAGCACAAATATTTCCAATAGAGATGAAATGCAAATTGATCCAATATAGTCAAGGGCATAAAACTTCTGCACAATAATCATACAATTTCGGAAAAAATATTGAAACAAATACAGGCCAACGAAGAGATGTCAGAGACCAAAGGAACGCCGATATGGGTGTGGCGGACTAGTTTCGATCTGGTGGCAGTGGTGCTCATAAAATTTAAGCACAACAATCATACAATTTTGGAAAAAAAAAATAAAGAATACTGCCCCACGAAGAGATAACAGAGACCAAATGGGACACCGATATGGGTGTGGGGGACTAGGTTCGATCTGGTGGTGGTGGTGCAGTGGGAGAGAAGAAACCCACCTGGTGCACAAGGTCGATCACTCTTGTGGGAGAGGCACGTGAGATAGAAGCTGGGGAAGTAAGTTTTGAAATAACATAAATAGCCACCTTTTATGAGCTGACATACTCTGAGGTTATTTTTTCCAACAAAAAAATTTGGGGGAGAAATCCTCCCCATCAAGGAGGGGAGCTCAGCTCTACAGTATATATCCGATTCATTGTTAGGGTTGATAAGTCGGGTTTAAATATAGTTCAGGACCGCCTCAGGTTAGGCTTCAAATTGATCCACACAGTAACTAGAGCTCCAATCAAAATGAAATGGGGTTGTTACTTTTCAAACCAAGCTCGGACCAAATTGCAAGTTAAACAGCCCGCCCAAAAACTTTGGAACTAGGATCGAGTTTGTCCGAATTGGGCCCAACAATTTGCATCCCTAGCTATATTTACTATGGAAAGCTAAGTGACCTCACTGAAATTTCGATATTTGATGGGTAATTAGTTGGTTATTACCAAGTGAAACTAATAGAGAGAGTGCTCTTACTACTACCTTTCTTCATGATTATCATTACAACCTTTCTTCTTCTTGATTAATTACAACGTACATAGGGATGGTAAAGGGGGCAGGAGTACCTTCCCCCTCCCGTTTAAGTCTCCCCACCAAAAACTGTTTAGCAAAACCCCCCTCACCGTCCCACTTAAGTTTCACTGCCCCGCCCCATTTAAGTTTCAATTTACTGATACACTAACATATAATCAAAATGAATGATCAAGTATGCGTTCTGTGAGCTTAAATGATAAATGAACTACTGTAAAAATAAAGGAAATATATAAATGATATGTGTTCTGTTAAAGTAATTTTATGAGATCAGAATCATTAGATCTGTGTAAAAGATAAAGAAATTTCATAAGATCGGATGTATATTCTGTTCGAATTGAACCCATAAATCATAATCCAACACAAATATCTGTAAAATAAAGATTTACCCATTTTTCAAGTAATAAATTGGTGTAAATCTATACGCACTTTAGACATATAATATATAGACAGCCGCTGTCCACCCACGGAGTAAGTTCACTGAGTTTTACTTTATGTATACCACACGCAGCAAGTTCACTAAGTTGTACTTTGGGTATACCACACACAGCAATGGATCTTTAACTTTGAAGAAAAAAAGAAAAAGAGAGAGAACTGACCGTAGGCCGTAAAACCAGTGGGCGGGTGGTCGGCGAGGTTGACGAAGCCGGCTTCGGTGGCAGGCCGTGAGGGATGCGAGAGTGAGGGTTTTTGGTTATCTCTAGAACGGCTGTACGCTGAAGCGATGAGATATTGATTTCTATTAGTCTAGTACCATATCGTGGGTGTATATATACGTATGGGTAAATTACAGACTTCCCTCTAGTTCTGGGTAAAGAAAGACCATTTGGCATTTAGTTATTCCTCATATTTGTGATTCTATTGTTTTGTTTTCGATGCCAAATTTTATAAAATAATAATTTTTTTTCTTTTCTTCTATAAAATAAAAATTATATTAATTTTTCTTAAAGTTTATCATAATTACCGAACCTTCCTTAAATTTTAAAAATTACTCTAACCCCCTAAAACAAATCTTGTGACATAGGTCTCCCTTTTTAACAATTACCACTAGTCCATGACGAAAATTCAATTTGCTTCCAAACATTTTGAATTCTACCTCACTCCTAATCTATACATACATCCATATATGTATGTAAATCACCTTCTAAAATTCAAGTATACCTTCTCCAACACCATATTGCAACAACACAATGTTATAATTAACCATAAATAACGGGTGTTGTCTATAAGGAGGTGACTTATGAAGTTAAAATTATGGAAAAGAAAAAAAAATATGTTTGTTGCAAGGGTGGTGTGTGTTACAAGGTTTAGTTTTTAGGGGATGCTCGAGTAATTTCAAAAATGGTAGGGGAGATCCATGTAATTATGATAAATCTCGAGGAGGTCAATGTAATTCGCCCTATATTATAATATAAGGGCATTACTGACTTTCACACTTTTGGGCCACCCGTGAACCAGTTTAAGGGAGATTAAAGTAATAAACGCTGAAATATTCTTTATATTTGTAATTTGTTCAAACATCATGGGAGGTCAGTGTAATTTACCATATATATATATAGACACACATGCAATATTGTTCAACAACGTAAAGGCTCTCACTCACCTTAATTATGATACCCCTAATTTTCACACATAAGTTTATCATACACGCAAAAATCGGGTGATATCATAGGCAATAGATAATAAGCAAGCAAATAGTACAAAGTGATAAATAAAATAAAAAAATTAAAAGCAAATAATAATAAATGATAATAATCTTCAACCATCCATAAAATCGATAAATGTTTAAATCTCCAAAAATACAACTCAGAAATCCCATAAAACAAGGACCCCTAAATCCATATTTAATTGTGTCCAAATTGTTTTACCACTTTAAGTGGGTATTCGCTTTTTGGAAAACGTTGCATTGGTTATGTGTTGGTTAAACTATATCGTACAATAAATAACGTGTTAGTTATATATTTTATCCCAATTGTTATAACCAATTTGGATAATGTTGTGTTGATTAGGTGTTGGGTGAATAATTCTAAATAGTTATATAACGTGTAACGTGTTATTTAAATATTTGTTATAACCACTTTTTGGACAATATGGTAGTAGTTGGTCAATTTTACCACTTTAGTGGAAAATACATGCTATATATTGTTACACGTAATTACTATAAATGGTTAAATTACGTAATAAGTTCTAAAGTATTTTGTGCTAACACGTTAATTGTGCAATTAATTTCATAATCTAATTTATGGTTTAATTATATATGTTGATGTCCTTGTGATCTATAAACATGATCTATGGTTGTATTATTCGTTATATCTCTAATTTATGCCTTGTGGATGAAATAAATGAATGTATGTGATGTAATCATTGAGATAACTAATAAGGTAGACTCATTGTTAGATATGGCTTTATATATGACAGAATCATTAAATTAGCTACAGGGACAGAGGCATAATTTTTTTTTTTTCAGGGGGGCACATTATACACTAAATACATATAAATTAGTATTTATGGAGTATATATACATAAAGAGACATAGGTGGATATATATAGAGATTGATATTTCTGGGATGAGATAAATTAATCAATTACATATATATAATATAATAAAACAATTTAAGAAAAAACATTTAAGGAAACATATATAGTATATAAAGGAAGGAGAAAATTCAGGGGGGCGTTTTTACACATTTCTAACATATGTGACGTTTCTGATTTTTCTCATTTTCCATTTTTCTGGAATTTCTGATTTTTTTCTAGGGTATTTTCGTCTTTTCTCGTTTCGCGTGCCGAACACCGTGGGGTGTGCCAGTTATGTCTAAGAGTTGGTTGGGGGCATTCCATTGAGCTCAGGACTCTTAGAAATGAATGGGTTACCATTTCGGCATTTTTCTGTTTCTTATGCCGGGAGTCCTAGGTGGGACCCGCTACCGGAATTGTCGCGTCCGGGGGTTTTGTTTGGGTCTAATTGTATTTCATTTATTTTGTTTAATTTGTTTTATGTGGTTGTGATTTATTATGTGCATATATATATTTGTGATAGAAATTAAAAAAGGGAAAAGATATTTTAAAGGGTGGGACCCACTAATTTTTATTAAAAGAGGGCAAGAGGCCAATTTTGGCCTCACTTTTCCTCATTCCTCTCTCTCTCTCTCTCTCTCAACGAATCTCTTTCCCTCATTCTCTTTTCATTTATTTTCCCTACAAGCTTTAAATCTCGATTTTTCTCAAACCATTAGGAAATTTTTGGTTCCGTTTGCGGCAAATTGAAGAGCTCGTTAAGATTTACGATTTGATCGAAGCAAAAGTGTTTTTGGTGCACCTTGGAATTCCAAAAATTAGGGCTTGGATTTGGGGATTTTGGGGTTCTCTACATCAACTTTAAGGTATGTCTAATTGTCGATTTCCTTGGATTTAATAGCTAGTTTGATGTTTTTCACATCATTTGGCATGTCAATTTGATTATTAATTGAATAATGCAATTTCTAGTGTTTTAGTTTATGCTTGAGTTTAACCCAATTGATGGTTTTGATCGAATTAAATGTTTATTTTGGGTATGAATTTATAATAACATGCTAAAAAATGACTGTGGTGGATTATATATGTTATTCCTAGTATGGTTGTTTAGTGTATATTGAAGCACGCTAAAGTTGTTTAAATAACTTGTTGTGGCCATGAAATTGTTTATTGCATAATGAAGGAATGTTGAAAATTGAGTGATTGAAACTAAGATGTTCCATATGCATCACATGAGGGTATTGATAGGCATAAAAGAGGTGAGGGTGTAGATGAGATGTGTAGATGTGTGGGAGTGGAAAAGAAAGGTGTGGATACACGGTGGTATGGATGGGATGTGTGGATAAGTGGGGGTATGGTGTGACATGCGGTTGCATTGATATTTTTATGTATTGCATTGTATGTGATGGTGATATGAATTACTTGAAAATTTAAGTGCCGTATGTGAAATCCCTCCCATGACCCCACTCATTTTACCTATTCATTGTGTGTAAGGCATTGGATTACTTACTTTGTTTGAGGAGGTGCCACTTAGGCAATCTCAATTGAGCCGTTGTGCTCACTCCTCTACAATTTTTCAGGTCACGGGATTGAGCTAGTGGGTGTTGAGCTTCCACGAACACGGATGGGGTTGGACTTATATCACATTGTATTAAGATATATATTTTGTGAATCTTAAACAATTCTATGTTATCGTTTTATTGTTATAATTTGACAATGTATCCGTATTTTTAGACAACAATTTGATGTATTTTGTGTATGGCTATGGAAGTATGTAATAATCATGATGGTTTATTGGGATGGGTGAGATGACTATGGGTTATTTGATTAATTTCATTGATGATGATGACTCATGATGTGTATCATTATTGTTGTGAGGTTGGGATAGGTTGGGCACTGGGTTTGGCTCACAAAGAGCCTAGAGTTTTTAAACCTTCAGGCTGCACATAGCTGCATTCCAGGGCTCATTAGCCGACTGGCAAGGCATGTCAGCTGACTGACAGGCATCTCGAGACCATTCCATTGAGTTGTGTAGTTGAGAAGTCTTATTTCGGCCAACCGAACCTCACCATCGGTCGACCGAAACTCCATCATCAGTCGGCCGACACTTCATCACCAGCCGGCCGACACTTCATTTTAGAGAAGTCCCGGGAGTAAACAATTTTGGAGATCATTTCAGCCGGCCGAACTTTACTTTTAGTCGGCTGAAGGATCACTTTACCAAAGTCTCGAGAGTGAGCAGCTTTGGGAGTCGTTTCGGCCGACTGACTATCTCAGTCGGGCCGACCATGCATTCTCAGCCGGCTGACCTTTCCATTGACCCGGCTGATCCTTCCATTGACTTGGTTAACCTCTCCATCAGCTGGCTGACCTTATCCATTGACCTGTACTTTGACTTCTCCTTCTAAGCTGTGTTTTAGGATGACTCTGGACCCTTGAATGATCTGAGTATCCCCTGTGAGCATAGGAAATGACGGAATTGCCCTTAGTTGACCCCGGTTTGGGTCGTTACAAAATTGGTATCAGAGCTTTAAGTTCGAAAACCCAAGGACGACGGGTAGGGTTGACCCAGGTTGAGTTAGAGTTGAGATTGACAGTATTGCATGCTTATGTAGTTATAGTTTATTTAGTTAAAAAGCACGACTTGCTATTACGTGTTTACATGCGAATCGATTATGAGACTTATAAAATGGTGATTAAATTTAAACATGCTAAATGATAATGTGCTTATTTTTCTTAAGTCATTGTTTAATGAATGTGAAAACATGCCTATTTGCTAGATGCTTATGTGAAATTTTTTGTATGATTAATGAAATGGTTAAATCTGTTTAAAGCATGCTTAATTGCTATATACATATATGTTTAAATGTTAGTATGTGTATTTCATGACTATAATTATTAAGTGCTTAATTGTCTACTATTTATTGAGTCCTTGCTTAGTAAATGTACGTATGACTAATGCGTTTCATTGTTGATGGGTTTGAATGTTCGTGGCGGTGTTGTGTGTTGGGTTACGAAGGGTTCTAACCCGCGTATATGGAGAGCTTAGTCATTCCTATGTTTCTGAACGTTTTAGTTCTTATCGAACGGATAATGTGAGCACCATAGCTCATGGATTGAGTTACTTCATGTATTCTTGTTTTGATCGTTTAGTTGTCTTTGTAGAACCGTGTTTGAGGACGACGTAGTGAGATGGATCCAGATGAAGTTGGACAGCGAGCAAGTGAAGGGCCATCCTAACCAGACAGGGTTTCAATAGGACAGGGTCGAGATAGAGAGACGGATGATAATCCACAAGTACCGGTGGATGATATCTTATTAGCAGGGGCTGTAGCCTCAACCTTTCAGAATTTAGCGAATACCACATCTCCTCAAGTGGTACCACAATCGGCTATTCAGCCATAGGAGACGGAGACGAAGCAAAATCTTAGGTACCTGATTCAGTTTGACAAACTCATGAGAGTAGCATTTGAGGGAGGTCCAGATCCGTTGGTAGCGGACGATTGGTTAAATGAAGTTGAAAAGCATTTCAGGGCAATAGCCGTGCCCGATGATCAGTTGAAGATCACCCCAGCCACGTATAAGTTTGTTGGCAACACGGCAGTATGGTGGAAGACCATGACTAGCGCACATGATATTGACAGTATGAGTTGGGATGCATTCAAGAGTCTTTTCTTTGATAAGTATTTCCCGCAGACTAAAAGACGGGAATTGAGGACGCAGTTTGACGGGCTTGAACAAGGTGACATGGTAGTGACAGAGTATGAGAATAAGTTCACTTCTCTTTCACATTTCGCTACAGATGTGTTAGGGATCGAAAATGAGAAGACATGGCAGTTTATGTACGGTCTAAATCGTTTAATTAGGCCGGGGGTGACACTTTTGGGATTAAAGAATTATTCGGAAGTGGTTACGAGCTGATGGCAGAAACAGAAGCCAAAGATTGGCAAGAAATGAGTGGTATTATGGGTTCTCAGGAACGAGGTACAAATGTGGGTACTTCTTCCAAGAGCCAGGATAGGAAAAGGCACAGAGGTGCTTCACTATTTTCTCAGGAGCAGCAAACGACAGGTGTTACTCCTATTGTTGGTGTTTCTTCAAGGTCCTCTAGGACGAGTGTGATGTGTTATCAATGTAGACAGCCAAGACACAGCAAGGCAGAGTGTCCTCTTGATAGACCTAGTTTCGGAGTTTGTTTTCTGTGTGGTCAGCCGGGCCACATGAAGAGGGATTGTCCACAGAGGAGATGAGATATTACTGTGATTGATTATGATGTAACGAGGGCGACCTGTGACTGTGATGTAACGAGGGCGACCTGTGACTGTGATGTAACGGGGGGTTACCTGTGACTATGTAAAGGGGATACCTGTGAATTTTGTAATGAGGGCTACCTGTAAGTCGTGTCGTGTTGTAACGGGGGCTACTTGTGAGTCGTGTTGTGTTATAACGGAGGACACATGTGAGTCATGTCGTGTTGTAACAGGGGAAACCTGTGAGTTGTGTTGCACGGTTGTCTGTGAGTCGTGTTGCATTATTGTCTGAGTCGTGTCTCATAGTTATCTGGGAGTCATGTCGCATTATTATATGTGCGTCTTGTCATGTTGTCGTCAGTGCGTCGTGTCGTGTTGTAACGGGGGTTAGCTGTGAGTCGTGTTATGTCGTAACGGGGAATACCTATGAGTCTGGTGCAGTAACGAGAATTACCTGTGACCATGTAACGGGGGATACCTGTTAGTTCTGTAACAGGGGATACCTATGAGATTGGATGTGACAAGAGATGCCTGCACATTGTTGTTGTGGTAATAGGGGCTACCCGTGAGTTTGGGTAGATGCCTGTGCACTTTTTGTAGGCATCTCCTTAATTTGTAAGCTTATACCAAACCCAAATGATTTAAATCTTAATAGGCATACGCAAACCCAAGTGATTTAAATCTATAATAAAATCACACTTATTCAATTTTTAAGCTTATTCCCTTACTATTGTAAACATTGACACTCCTTAATTTGTTAAAATAAATATTAATAATAAATTTTTATTTTAATTCAATTTAGGGTACCAATCAAATATATAATTATATAATCTTATTATCTTATATAATAATATTATTAAGAAAATTTTATATTTTTAATTACAATATTGTATTTTTCTTTCATTTTATTTTATTTTATTTTGGTTGAATTATATTACACTCGACGAACATTGCACCTGCATTTTACAAGTACGATAATAAATTCATTATATAGGACACATGATTATTATCCGTTCTTTTATTTATTATTATTATTATTATTTTCTCATCTAACTAATGTTTTCATTTCATTCATTTTCCATTGGACCGAACAAAGCCCTAGCGATCTTTGATATTACAGAAACCTCGTAGAAAAGTGAAGTGCGATTATCATCTCCCTTACAAGATTGTTTCCAAAAGGAATTGATTAGGACACCCATAATCTAAAATTAATACTTAACAAATTCTACCAAAAATTGACTGATTCAAGCTAAAGTAACAATACAATTAATAATAAGATATGAAAATAAGTATCAAGGCATAAAATGTCATAATTTATTATTTTTTAGTATCGAGGCATAAAATGTCAGAATTTGTTCCTCCTATTTATTATCTTGGTCATAAATCATAAATAATTAATTGACGAAAAATACATAAATTTCAATCATTCATCCTTACTTAGGCATAAAATGTCATAATTTATTATTTTTTTCTCAAATAGTCCAATGAAAATTACTAATTCATGATTATATATAAGTAACCTTTATGCTAGACCCCAAATACAATCAATTGTAGTCTATGGTTAAGTACATGAAATTAACAAACTGGAACATGCATTTAAAATTGTTTAAATATTTTATTCAGTTAGTATGAACATCAAACAAATTTAAAAATTGAAAACATAGAGTTACAAGACTAACTTACGAAGGCTTTCCTCTCAGGCTCTCAGCCAAAGTTGAGAGATTAGAACTCAAATAAATAATAAAATAACAACTATAAAACAAGGCATCATGAGTAGAAGATCTTCTGTATTTTATTTGTCACTTGCATAAGCCTCCCAGCTTTGCTTCTTAAGAAAATGCACGGCCTTTAGTGCTCTTATAACAGCTTCCATTTACAATTCAAACAGTGGCCAAGTCAACCGCAGAGCAATCATGAGTCCATTGACTACAGTAAGACAATATAATTTTCATTATCCATAAAGATCCAATCCAAACAGGTAATAATTCAATCACCAAAAATTCCACATGCACACTAATCAAATCAAAATCAAAACATATTGTAGAGGTAATTATTTGTAAAAGCTGAAGATAGGGCAAGAGGATATGCCAAAGTTGAGTTGTCGATCATACAATATTGATCAACAAATGAAACTCAAGGAATAAATTTGAAATGAATAGACAAAAATTCAAAATGCAGGAAAAGCAATCAGTACCTTATTTGCCAATCATATGCAAGTTAACCTCTTCTTGATTGCTAATGCCAAGGAGGCAAACTGATTTCTTGATAGAAGATATGCCGCAGATACTATCATTGCTGGGGGTCTAGGGGTTCTCGAAAAGTTAACACTTATAGCAACACGATGTGTCTTTTTATCCATGAGCGGGAATGTAACGTATGACCGTGACGAAGGCGTAAAAACAAGGGGCCCATATTCGATGAATGTTCTAAAAGTTTTATATATGACCGAACTCTGTTCAAAAATACACAAAAAGCATACTTGTTAAGGCTCAAGGTATACACTAAAGCGCCAAAGGTCTCCTGGAGCCCAAGCGCAAGGCACAATACAAGGCAAGAGACTGATAAAAGGCGCATGTATGATAAAGAAGCATATTAAAGATTAATTTAATAAAAATTATTGAACTATGCAACACATACTAGTCAATATCAAAATAAAGAAATCTTTCCAACATTTCAATGATGTGCAAAAATCATATCAAAATAATAATTCTATAAAAATGGGATTTTTGACCTATCAAGCTAAGAGGATCTGGTAAACTGATGTTGCATAAATCATTTCTTAGGCGTATAAATTTAGTAAATTAGATGTGACAATAAAAAGCTATGATCAAGTAGACATTAAACATATACAATCATGTTTATTTAGAATCAAAATGAATGCAATTAATGTAATAAGTCAACCATAAATCTATGAATTTGTCAAATATATCATAAAGTCAAACAATATGATCCATTAAATATGATCGTGATATTATACAAAACATTTTAATTTAATGGTCATTAAATAAAGGACGTAAAATGAGAGAGTCTGGGGGCTTGGGCTTGGCCTTTAGTAGGTCGAAGCACTCTTAACTGAGCCTTGACAAGCCTGGGGCTTTTTTGGATACAAGGCACACTTTTAATGTTGATCAACATTCCCACTTTGTTACTTCTTTATCCAAGAAAAAAAAAAATAATGAAACAAAAATTACAAGTACACATACAAGGGTACCAATATTTCTCTAAAAGTGAGTCCAACTCATTGATAGTTTGGCATTCCACTGTCGTAAGGATTTAATTGGTAATATTGTTGAAACAATAAAAAAATGGAAGAAAGACATCCTCAACATCCCCGACTTGCTAATTCTTTATCCCAAAAAAGAAAAAGAAAAAAAATACATTTAATGAAACAAGAATTACAAGTAGACAAGGTTACAAAAATTTCTCTAAAAGTGAGTCTTACTAATTTAATGTTTGACATTCAATTGTTGTCAACAGGCTATCACACATAGAACCTTTGGATTAAATGAGGTTGGAAGGAAAACAAAACACGTGACTTTTGGTGCTCATATATAGCCAAAGAAATTTGCTAATTGTAGAAGTTATACATATATCTTTTTCCAGAATTTCAAGCAAATTGTATAAAACAATAAAATGAAAAAAGTGGACAAGTCCACCGGATAAGATCTCTAAGTGAGAGACCAGGCCCAATTAGAAACCACCACTTATAAATGGGAATACGATACAAAAAAAGCCAAAATAAACCCAAGCCCAGTAACAATTCTCAAGCCGATCTCAAGTCAAGAGGCTTCCTTGGAGGATGGCAGGAGGAGGGGGAGATACCCCAGATGAGCAAAACACGACAAGATTGGGGTGAATCTTTCAAAAACCCACCCATGAGCCTCTCTATGATGGAGGAACAGATTTGGTCCAAAACATGGTTCAGCGAGGAGATCTTGCCTCTGAAAACCCAAGCATTTCGTTTGATTTCCAGTGGTGGAATGACGCATTAAAAGACCTATCAATATTGAACTCATGATGTTGGCTGACTCAGTAGACTTAGTAATATGCTACATACAAATAATTTTCTGGTGTTCTTTTATCAACAAAATCATATAGAACCATCGCCCTGAAAGGTAGAGGAACATGTATATGGTTTATAGATGAAAGGGGTCAGAATTAGTTTGGTTTGGTAAGTGATCGATTGCTAGATTGTAGATACAAAAACTTTTCCGCACTAATGAAGTAATGCAACCCTAAGGTTACCTAGATTCAGATTATTAAGAACAATTTTTTGGGGTATAAATAAAAAATTGTGGAGAATATCGTGGAACGGCTCTTAATAGACACAAGACCAAATCTGAGATTATGTAAAATGCACCTCTAGCCTTGAAAGCTTCATGCTTTGATAGACTAAAAAAAAGGGATATAATAGAGGATGCAGAAAAGTACGTAAAAGTATGAAAGTAAAGAGTAGATTTCAATAATATTGTAATGAGAGCCTGGAATAGTCAGGACTATGCAAATGGCCACATAAGACACTTCCAAAACCCAATTGAACATACGGGAAGAAAGAGAATAATTCAATATAAGATGAATAGAGGGAAGAAGAAGAGTAGAGAGAGGCAGCAAAAACATTTGGAATTTTTCCAATCAACCCAACCATAGTTTTTGGGAATGGGCAAGAAAAAGATAAGCCACGAGATCATCACCCGCGTTTTCCAAACCTCCAGTGCTAAGAACCTATGTAGGTAGAATCAATGCATCATATAACCAACCACACATAGGTGATCCTCAAATGCCACATAAAAAAGCTGATAATATAGTAGCATCAACCTCGGATATGAGAAACACTAAAAATGAGTGTTTGCTAGGTCGGGAGGAATGATAAGCGGATGGGAGAGATATGAGTTGCTCAAGTATTCATGAATATAATTCTTAACAGCACACCAAAAGATTAAAATTTATACTTCAAAATATGTGAAGCAAGAATTTACCATTCCTAATGAGAAAAACATCAGCAAGGACAAACTACTATCTATGTCTCTTACCTTTTCCTTGGAAAAACTGTTAGACAGTGAGGGAGGTGGCATCCAGAGATCCTTTGAATAAGACCTCAATGTTAAACTCTCTTCTGTGTAAAACAAAACATAACAAAATCAGACTAGTTTAATGGGTTTTTTCTGGAAAATTCCTTTGAAGCATGAGTCAGTTGAAGTGGAAATCAACCAATCACCTAATTCTTCCGTTGCCTCTTTGATACTTTCACTTTCACTATGGCATTTTAATGTCACGAAAAAATAAACATGCATTAGAATACTAAAGCTTATTCACAATCAAATCACCTAAAGAAAGAGAGATAAGAAGATACAAAATTTTCACTGATCAACTGAACAAAGTAATTAGGTGCCAAACCAGTCAATGTCACTTAAATCAACATCTTTGTCGTTTATAACAAACCCGGCTCTCTCAAGCAGCGCCTTAATGTCGTTGACCACCTTTTCTTTTGGCATCTATAAGAAAACATTAAGGGAGTAACTTTGTGGAAGTGTTGGGTCAAAGCTTAAAACATGAGGAAACTGGTAGTAATACGAGTTGAAAGATGACCATTTTCATTCAAAAGGAAAAACAACTAGCATTCACAACACCCCTGTGGTTTGCCTCTTTGACACCCAATTCTTTCATAGTGACACCTCCTCAGATTCGCTCCATTAGACAAAGACACTCCATGAACGCTCTCGCACATGGTAAAATGACCTGAATGCCCTTTTACTAGTGAAGTGACACTTTGAATAGTTAAATTACCAATTAACCCATTCTAACTAATTTTAAATGTCCAAAATAACCTCTTCATCTCAACCACCTACCCACAATGCTGCCACCACCACCAACCCCACCCCCACCCACAGCCACCACCTCTTCTTTCTTCTCTTCCTTCTCTCTCTAAAACACATGCATTGCAATCCTCTGCAACCACTACTCCATGGTCGAACCATCAAGGTCCAGACCACCCTCAATCACCCCCAATTGAAGTCTTCACCATTCAAGATGGCCCCATATAACCCCTTCACTGACAAAACAAATAACTAATGAACCAATGAAGGCAAGTCATGCAATTTCATCAATTTCATTCCACCAAACACCTTCTCTAAAACCTCTCTATGCCTTCCCTTATCTAGAAACGAAAAGTTCTCTCCATAATGTTTATATTAATAAAAATTTCCTCCATTTATGAGGAAAAAAAAAAGTTCTCTAAAAAATGACACCATCTTCACCATCAAAACCTTAAACCAATCACAACCAAAACACGAAAGAAACAAAAATTCTCCAAAAATTGACGCCATCTTCACCATCAAAACCATAAACCAATCACAACCAAGCAACAATCACAAAGCACGGGCAGACGTGGCTTGCCAAAGCCTACATCCACAATGAAATTCTGGCGAAAGCATTCGCTATGCAAAAATCTGGTAGGTACTAGTTTCAACCCCCAAACCCTAGCTCTCGCTCTCGCTCTATTTTCTACAATTTTCAATGTCTATCTATATCCCACTCCAAACCCTAAACGCCCATTATATATCGGGCTACAAGAGGGTACTAAACGGGGCGTAGTTGTGACCCCAGAGCCAAACTCAGGCCACAACATCACTGATTCTAAGTAATTGAGTTGTCAATAGTGGTATAGGCTAGGGTTTCAGAGGTGTGTAGTGGTTGGGTGGTTAGAGTGGTGGAGTATGGCAAAGGGAGTGATGGAGGTGGGTGGTTGGAGTGGTGGAGGTGGACTATTGAAAGAGAGAGTGAGAGAGAGAGGAAGGGTGGAGGAGAGAGTGTCCCAATTGAAATGTGTAGAGAGGGATGTGACAGCTGATTGTGGTGGTGGAGGAGAGAGAGACATAACTGAGGTGTATAGGGGTATTTTTGTCTGCCTCGGTTTCGAGGTCGAGCAAGGCTTCAATGGCGGACGAGTTGGACTCAACTGAGTTGGGGTTCGGGTTGGTATGTGATTGATGCGAAGCTTGTTTTAATGGTGGTAGTGGGGTGAAGGTTGCGGTGGTGAGTGGGGAGAGAGAAAAGGAAGGGGCAGGCGGTGGTGGGTGGTGTTGGAAATGGTCGGTGGTGGGGTAAGCTGAAAATGTGAGAAAAGCATTAAAAATGGGTCTTTTGGTTTTAGGGGCAAAGTAGTCTTTTGGTTTCTCTATTTTTTATAATAAAAAAGCATTAAAAAATTAGGGCAAATTAGGCATTTCACACATTTTTTATGTGGAAAAGCTAACGGGAGGTGTGACTTTCAAAAACATTGCCAAGTTCTATCTGGGTGACAAAGGCAAACCACATGGGGGTCAGTGTAATTTTTAATAGGTATAAATATCATAACCAAATAAATCTCTACACAATTTCTGGAAGAAAAGAAAAAAAGTTTAAATCTATGCATGTTGCAAACAATATGAGAATTACAATAAATCGCAAGAAACAAGCACAAAAACCATAAAAAACACGGATCATAACAACTTACTTCACTCTGTACTAACTGCCTGTATTTTTCAAGAGCAACACCAGCCTTCTCAAACACTTTGAGCAACAATATTCCCCGCGTCATCGCTGCCTTAATATCGTTAAGCGACCGAACCAACTTACCAATCTTATTAATTCCGAGCAACTTGCTTTCATCTTGAGTTAGTCCTACAATCTCTTCAACCAACTTATCATTCTTGTGACTTCCGATCAATTTGATTTCATCTTCAGTTAGTCCTACAATCTCTTCAATGATGCTTTTGCGTATTGACATGCTCAAAGGGATTAACTTTTCTCGAGCAACCATCAGTAGAGTAGCCATCTCAATAAGTTCTCCCTCCATAGCATAATGAATAAATATTTTATCAACCTCCTTTGTGTTCCATGCCAGCAACCTATTAATTTCTAATGGTACTTTCTGCCATATTTAACCATAATAAGCAACAAAAAAAAAAAAAAAAAAAAAGATCAGACCTCTCAACCCATTCAAATGTATAGAAAGTAAACACTATTTGTAATACACATAAATTTTGTCTAAACAAACCATTTGAGGCAGACAAAGAACAACGATCAATTTGAAGATAGATTGTTTTGGGGTCCAATCAATCAAGGATCGATGATAACTGCATCAGCCACATTAAAAATCCAATCAAAAAAAAGGGAAAAGAATTAAGTAGTTAAGAATGATGTATTAAACCTTGATCTAAGTTCATATTATAGGCCCCATGAAAGAAATAAGAAAGAATAATTTTATATTATAATATCTGTCTTCTACCTTACTGTTTCAAGTGATACGTTGAGAGGAAACAAGTCGCCCCTAAATTTACCCTCTATGGTTCTGACATCAGTCTGAGCTCCATGGCTAAGCAATGTCGTAATCATTTCATATGATAAACCATTAGCTGCTAAATGCAATGGATATAATCCATCGTTAAAGGGAATATTGAGATCAGCGATGAAACCGGTCTCCCCTCCGAGAAAAGCGATGGCACAATCTATTACGCCAGACTCACAAATTCCATGCAAAATTGTTGGTGGGCAATATTTAGCTTGATAATCAGATGATTCCTTCTTTCTAACTTCTTCTGTTTTTGGTACTTTTCTTTGAAATAGCTCCTTCATAAAAGAGAGAAATAGAGGTTTGTCATCATAACAAAGAATCTCTGCCAATGTTGCTATGACATCATGACCAATTTCTTCCTTTAGATGAGCATATCCAACCTGTCATTATTTGAACAACACTAACATCAACACGTGAAGATGACCACAATAAGATAATAGCGCATATCATTAAAATAAATGCACGAACAGTAATATAAGTACGAAAAAGGGAGCCCCGATCTTCTGCTGTAATCTCCCTTGCTGTAGTGGTGCCATAGGGTTTTTCAACACAATTACACCTGTTTTCAACATATTTACATCTACTTATTTTTATTGCGTTGAGAAACAGATGTAATAAGTTGAAAAATCACAGTTGAAAAGCAGATGTAATATGTTGAAAAACCATCAGCACAGCAAAGGATATTATAGGTGAGGATCCAAGTGCATGAAAAGGGAATGTGAATGTATTCAAGTTTAAGTAGACACCTCAGACATCCTTGCCCCAATTACAGTATCTGCTCTGAATTCTGACCTCCTTAAAAGGCGCTCCAATATAAGAATAACCTTCAGAAGGAAAAAAAACATAATTGATTGAAAGTTTTTCAAATAAACAACTAAATCACAATGGGGAGGCAATCAAATAATTATATACCGTACTTCAATTTAGTTTATAGTGCAAAATAACTACTTGAGAATGGAATCCCAACATTCATCGGATACACAAAATGGTTTATGCACTTGTGTATAAAAAACATAAAAGCTCGCATACGAAACAAGAGGGCATTACTGGCCTAGTTGATAGAGCACCCAGCTCCTCGAGCAGGTACGCCCGAGTTCAAATCCCCACTCCACCTAGTTTGCAAAGGAAAAAAAAAAAACAAAACAAAACAAAACAAAACATATGAAACAAGACAAACTTAATCCCTACTACTCGCGCCTGTTAAGGCTACATAAGCCGACGCTATGTATTTGCTAGAATCAGATCTATACCAAATCAAACTAGGTAGAGAATATCTGAATCCAAAAGCACAAATATTTCCAACAGAGATGAAATGCAAATTGTTCCAATATGGTCAAGGGCATAAAACTTCTGCACAATAATCATACAATTTCGGAAAAAAATTTGAAACAAATATAGGCCAACGAAGAGATATCAGAGACCAAAGGAACGCCGATATGGGGGTGGCGGACTAGTTTCGATCTAGTGGCAGTGGTGCTCATAAAATTTCAGCACAACAATCATATAATTTTGGGAAAAAAATAAAGAATACTGCCCAACGAAGAGATATCAGAGACCAAAGGGGACACCAATATGGGTGTGGGGGACTAGGTTCGATCTGGTGGTTGTGGTGTAGTGGGAGCAAAGAAACCCACCTGGTGCACAAGGTCGATCGCTCTTGGGGGAGAGGCACGTGAAATAGAAGCTGGGGATGTAAGTTTTGAAATAACATAAATAGCCACCTTTTATGAGCTGACATGCTCTAATGAGGTTATTTTTTCCAACAAAAAAATTTGGGGGAGAAATCGTCCCCTTCAAGGCGGGGAGGTCAGCTTTACAGTATATATCTGATTCATTGTTGGGGTTGATAAGTCGGGTTTAAATATAGTTCAGGACCGCCTCAGGTTAGGTTTCGAATTGATCCACACAGTAACTCGAGCTCCAATCAAAATGAAATGGGGTTGTTACTTTTCAAACCAAGCTCGAACCAAATTGCAAGTTAAACAGCCCGCCCAAAAACTTTGGAACTAGGCTCGAGTTTGTCCGAATTGGGCCCACCCAATTTGCACCCCTAGCTATATTTACTATGGAAAGCTAAGTGACCTCACTGAAATTTCGATATTTGATGGGTAATTAGTTGGTTATTACCAAGTGAAACTAATAGAGAGAGTGCCGCCCAAAAACTTTGGAACTAGGCTCGAGTTTGTCCGAATTGGGCCCACCCAATTTGCACCCCTAGCTATATTTACTATGGAAAGCTAAGTGACCTCACTGAAATTTCGATATTTGATGGGTAATTAGTTGGTTATTACCAAGTGAAACTAATAGAGAGAGTGCTCTTACTACTACCTTTCTTCTTCTTGATTAATTACAACGTACATAGGGATGGCAAAGGGGGCATGAGTACCTTCCCCCTCCGGTTTAAGTCTCCCCACCAAAAACTGTTTAGCAAAACCCCCCTCACCGTCCCATTTAAGTTTCACTGCCCCGCCCCATTTAAGTTTCAATTTACTGATACACTAACATATAATCAAAATGAATGATCATCAATTTACTGAGACACTAACATATAATCAAAATGAATGATCAAGTATGCGTTCTGTGAGCTTAAATGATAAATGAACTACTGTAAAAATAAAAAATTATATGTGTTCTGTTAAAGTAATTTTATGAGATCAGAATCATTAGATCTGTGTAAAAGATAAAGAAATTTCATAAGATCGGATGTATATTCTGTTCGAATTGAACCCTTAAATCATAATCAAACACAAATATCACCATCTGTAATGTAAAATAAAGATTTACCCATTTTTCAAGTAATAAAATGGTGTAAATCTATACGCACATTAGACATATAATATATAGACAGCCACTGTCCACCCACAGAGTAAGTTCACTAAGTTTTACTTTATGTATACCACACGCAGCAAGTTCACTAAGTTGTACTTTGGGTATACCACGAACAGCAATGGATCTTTAACTTTGAAGAAAAAAAGAAAAAGAGAGAGAACTGACCGTAGGCCGTAAAACCAGTGGGTGGTCGGTGAGGTTGACGAAGCCGGCTTCGGTGGCAGGCCGTGAGGGATGAGAGAGTGAGGGTTTTTGGTAATCTCTAGAACGGCTGTACTATGAAGCGATGAGATATTTTTTTTTTTTTTTTTTTTTTTGGGTAAAGTACACAAACACCCCGTGAGATTTGGCACAAAGACAAATAGATACAAGTTAGTCTATTTTTGGACAATCACACCCCCTGGTCAAAAACTTGATCCAAACCGCTCCTTAAATTTTGTAAAAAGTCAAGATTGCCCTTTAATATTTTATTAATTTAAATTATAAAATATTTAAAAATTTAAATAACTCTTTTACCCTTATACATTTATTACACCAATACATACATACATATATATATATATATATATATATATTTATATATCTATATGTATATTGTAAACCTATCAAACCCAGACCCGGCCATGACACCACTTCCACACCTTCCAACCACCGGTCGACGAGTGGTTCACCATCTCCTTCATTCACATGTTGGTTACTCCTTTCACCGACACCTCCATCCTCCAAGAACCCCTCAAATAACTCCTCAGCCGCCGCCGCAAGTTTCTGGCGTGAAGCGGACAGATCAAGGATTGATAGAGACATATTCCCTACGCCGGCGTCTTTGATTCTTGACGGCGGCAGAGAGTTGATGTTTGAGTGTAGAGCGAAGCTTTGAGTATGGAGTGATTGCTGAAGGAGGGGCGTTTGGCTTGACTCTACAATTGGTTCCGTCATCTTTAGATCTGGATGATGTGGACAGTTGAGGATGAAATCGGTGGTTTCGCCGCCGATAAGGGTTGCTGTGAGCTCTGTATGTGAGAGAAAGCTTGTAGATGTGGCCGTTGTTGGTAGGAGGTGAAGCTGGAGCAAGGGTTAGCAAATGTGGCTTCGGTCGGTTTCTAAGGCCGAGAAATTGAGGTGGTTAGCACCGGCGGCAGATGGTGAACACCACAACCTCGTCTGTAACTTACAAGGGTTTCATGAAGGAGGTGGTGAACCCCAGCGACAGATGGTGAGCTTCGAAAAAACATCGCTGAAGAAGGAGCGCGTGAAGGTGTGATGATGATGAGCGTGAAGGGTGAACCCCGACGGCTGAGGTGTGATGATGTGATGGCGGTGGCGGAGTTTGAGGTGTGATGTTGGCGACGGCGGAGGGGTGATGTTGATGGCAGTGGCAGTATATGCAGTGTGTGTATATACACATACAGATGCTTCTGGGTTTCACCGACAATTTCTTTCGCCGATGCTTCTGGGTTTCGCCGCCACTGTCGCAGTCATCGCCGCCGCCACCCCCACTGTCGCAGCCATCACCACAATCTCTCTCCTATCTTCTTCCTCTCTCTCCTTTTCACCTCATCTCTTCAACTAAGGCCGCCCCTCTCTTCCCCCTCTCTCTACACCCACCACTACAACCGCAGCCACAACCACCATCCATCTGATCTCCCTTCTCTCTCCTCTGGTGAACTGTATAAGGCGGGTTCGGCTTTGGGTTTGGGTTTGGGTTCAATTAAAGGGTATTTAAGTCAATTAAAATGTTAATTTTATTTGAAAGGGTAATAAGGTCAATTCACCATCTTCAGGGTCTCTTTGTCCATTTTTCAAACTTGAAGGGGTGTCATTGTCCAAAAACAGGCTAACTTTCCTCTGCTTGTCCTTTCCTCAAACCTCAGGGGGTGTCAATGTACTTTACCCTTTTTTTTTTTTTTTTTTTGGGTTAATTACAATGACACCCCCCGAGATTTACCTTAATTACAGCCATATATAACTTAGTGTTTTTTTGAACAATGACACCCCTTCTTAGTTTTATATCAAATTTTGGCAGCGAAATGTCTACATTGCCCTTCAATATTTAATTAATATATGATGAGAAAATATTAGAATCGTAAAATGACTAAAATGCCCATCTTAGAAAACCCAACCACCACAACTCTCTCTATCGTTTCTCTCTCTAACCTTTCAACTCCTTTGTCATCACTCTCTTAACCCTTGCAGATCTCACCTCTCTTATGTAACCCTAGCCTTATTTTAAACCGACAGAATCTCTTTATACCCTTACCCTTAGATCATGACAAACCCTCTCGAAATCCGACTGACTTACGACGACGACCAGCACCACCGACCATCGTCGACGATCAAATTGGCAGCGATGATCTTGACGTCTTGGCCAAGGTGATCATGGCTTTGGTGTTGAAGAGATCATGGTCGTTGATCTGATGAAAACGATCATCCCGATTGCCCGCATAGGTGGTCTCCTCGAGCTCTCGATGAACCTCTCATGTCATCTCGTTGGATGCATTTTCTCAAGATCAAGGCATGTTTTTGCGAAATCATTCCACAGCTAGCTCATAGAACTCCAATGAGAAGGAAGTCGCAGTAGGGGAATTCTCAAGTACGACAATTAGGAATTCTTCGTAGAATTAACAAACCTGCCTAGCAAGTTAAACCCAAGTTTGGTTTGATACGTTTTTCACCAAAACTAGGTGTGTGACCCCAAATGCCTCATGGGTTTCTTCGATTGGTCTCGTCTCTAAATGGGTATCCCTTAATTCTTGCGATTTTACTCTACAATTTGTATTTATTTACGCATACAAATTAAGTTATTGAGTGAATGATTGAAAGCGATAAGCCCGTTTCGGTAATTTTGGATTCAATTGTTACTTGTTATGCGAATCTTGTGTTTATAATGGAGGTAATGGTTGGGGTTCTAGAGAGGTGAAAGCTGAAGTGGGTTTATTGAGATAAACATGTGATCATAGAGGTATAATTTATGTGTGGAGAGCATTTAGCATAAGGATCTAAAGCAAGAAAATGTAAAAAAAGAGAATGGGAGAATCTTCCTTGATCGTCGCCATCATAGGATTCTCACCACCATGTCTGTTCTGTGTCGCCAGGATCTCGTCGCCTTGTCTACGTTGGAATTGCATCACCACACGTCGCTGCTAGTTGCCAAACAAGATCTGGTCGACGTCAAAATCGCTTCACCATCATGCCAACACCACTGCTACTCAATGTTGCCAGAGCATCGTCACCGTTGCTGGAGCCCGAGAGAGAGAGAGTTGCAGAAGTATATGGGTTTCTCGTTGAAATGATAGAGTTTAGACTTTATTAACTAATCGTTTGATATGGATGAATTGTTTAGAGTGAGTGAATGTAAGTCACCGAGCTCGGCAAGGACAGTTCCGGTGAATTTAGTATCTGAAATGATGAGTCTTGAATCAATGAAGATAAATTCAAATTCAATGGAAGTTGTAAAGGGACTGATTGGATATTGATTTTGGATTGTGGGTGGAGAGAGATAGGGAAGATGAGGGTATTTTTGTCCTAAAATGGCCTTTTGATACATTTTCTTATTTTAATTAAAAAATTAGGGTAATTCAAAAGCTAAAGGGTAATAACGTCATTTTAACTTGTGTCAGACCTGGCAGGAGTGTCTTTGTGAAGTTTATGAAATCTGAAGGGGTCTCATTGTTCAAAAAGAGGTTAACTTGTATATGGCTGTAATTAAGGCAAATCTCAGGGGGTGTCATTGTAATTAACCCCCTTTTTTTTTATGGAGAAACAATGAGATATTGGTTCCTGTTAATCTATTACCATATCGTGTGTGTGCATATATATATATATACACTATTTTATTTTATTTTTAAATACAAAAATAAAATTTTAATGAATTATAAATATGTTATAATTTCATTAGTTGAGTTTAAGCTTTTGGAATACGCACTTAATAAAGTTATAAATAGCCATTTGAATATCATTGAAATAAGTATATTAAACATGCAAAGGAAAACCAGAAAAATGGAGTTTATATGTTTTAACTTGAAACTCAAGACTTGCAATTTATTCTTCAATCTTTGTTCTAATCAACTTTCTTTCTATCACGATCGCTTCTTTCCTTTTAACATCTTTAGTTTATCAGGTAATTATAATTCTAAATTTCTTGTTTTCAAATTCAATATTTTTGTTTGTTTTTTGTTTGTTTCATTGTAGATTTTTTCTATTTTGTGGGAATTTTGAGGTCAAACTTTTAATTCCTATCTCTTTATTCTAGTTCTAAAGTATAATGAACTTGTTATACCAGCTTTTTTCCACATATGATTGCATACATATATTTTCTCATCATTTAAATATATTTTTGTTAAATGTCATTTCTTGCTATAAATTATAATTGAGAAAGTGTGTACTTCTATCTCAAAATGTCTTCTTTTGATTTGGAAATCATCTGCATCCAATCCAATCAAATGAATATATGCTTAATCTTGAGCTAAGAGCAACCAAGAATATAAATGGTATATTTTGAGGTGTTTGTTTGTTTCTTTCTTTCCAACTCTTTTTTTTTCTTCTAGTTTTTTATTTATTACTTAACATATTTTCTCTAGATTTATGAAGTTAATATTTACTTGTGATTCATAGAGTTAATATACAGATACATATACATATTGTGAATTATCCAAATTAATTTTTTTATTATTTTTTAAAAAATTTATCTAAAATTCATTTATAATATAAAATGTTTATTTTATCACGTGCATCGCACGTGGATTACACTAGTATATATATACATATGGGCAAATTACACAGACTTCCCTTGGGTTCTGGAAAGACCATTTGGCATTTATTCCTTTTACCACTCCCTCATATTGTGCTCAAAGACACTTATATTGTTTTGTTTTCGATACCAGATTTTATAAAAAAATAATTTTTTCCTTTTCTTCTATAAAATAAAAATTATATTAATTTTTCTTAAAGTTTGTCATAATTACCGAACCTTCCTTAAATTTTAAAAATTACTCTAACCCCCTAAAAACAAATCTTGTGACATGGGCCTCCCTTTTTAACAATCACCACTAGTCCATGACGAAAATTCAATTTGCTTTCAAACATTTTGAATTCTATCTCACTCCTAATCTATACATACATCCATATACCTATGTAAATCACCTCTTAAAATTCAAGTATACCTGCTCCAACACCATATTGCCACCTAACAACACAATGTTATAATTAATCATAAATAATGGGTGTTGTCTGTAATGAGGTGACTTATGAAGTTGAAATTATAGAAAAGAAAGAAAAAAAAAAATATTTGTTGCAAGGGTGGTGTGTGTTACAAGGTTTAGTTTTTAGGGGATGCTCAAGTAATTTCAAAAATGGTAGGGGAGATTCGTGTAATTATGGTAAATTTCGAGGAGGTCAATGTAATTCGTCCTATATTATAATATAAGGGCATTACTGACTTTCACACTTTTTGGCCACCCGTGAACGAGTTTAAGGGAGACTAAAGTAATAAACGCTGAAATATTCTTCATAATTGTAATTTGTTCAAACATCAGGGGAGGTCAGTGTAATTTATCATATATATATATATATATATATATATATATATATATATGTATGTATATAGACACACACACAATATTGTTCAACAACGCAAAGATTCTTACTCACCTCAACATAGCTGGTTGCAGACAACTCTCTGAATGCCTTGGAAGAGGTGGATGATGATCCTCTGTCCGTGGAGGAGTACCGAATGAGTTACTTCGGCAACATCGATCTTCCTCAGAGCCTCTACAAGATGGGAAATATCGTAACGGAGCTCAAGGACATTGCGTTTAGCTTGAAAGTAAGTATTACTTTAGTAGAATCGGATATTTAAGTTGTGCTTGTAACTAATAGGTTTTTTTATTTTTTATTTTTATAAAAGAATTTGCTTTATCAATTTGGGACTACAATTGATGGGATTTCAAATACCGGGTAGATTGGAGAAGAAAAATTTAATCCTTTGAACTAATTTTTCTTTAATTAATTCCAAAGCACCAAATCCATGCAAACCCACACCGTCTATAAGGAAACAAATGTCTAAGATCTTCTTACTCTCTAGTTTATATTTATCTCTAGACTCTTGAGTGCTTTCCGTATGTCTAATGTCTTCCTACGCTGTAGTTTTTCTTTTATTTCTATATTCCATTCCATATCACATCTTCCAACTGCACTCAAGTTTAAACACTAAACTATTATATCACGCTCAATGAATTTGCGCCTACTCTTATTTATATTATAAAATTGGTTCTAGAATTATTAAAAAACATATTTTAAAGATATTTACGAGCAATTAGACAAATTTCTAGTTTAGAACATTTTGAGAAGTTAAAGTTCATTTTTTTTATATACTCATTTTACAATTTTATATCTATATATAATAATATTTTCACTTCGAATCCCATCTTACATCCAAACTAAAAACTGAATTTCTTTCTTTCTTTCGAATCCAATTGTTCCAAACATACAAATGGAATTTCATTTTAATTCCTATCTAATCCCAATTCCAACTCCTTTTTCATATTCAAATCCCAAAAGGAACTTTTTTTGGATAAGTAAGGTTTTATAAAAGGCCCTCAAAAGGGGAGCGATCCCAAAGAAGACAACGGCGGACCCACAATCGGCTCTATAGCTTTAAGCTATCCACAAAATTCAAAAGACTATCCATTGAATTACAATCCCGCCTATATACGCAAAAAAATAAAGAAGTAAGAATATTGTATTTAATAGCCCAAATGGGAGACTCCTCTCCTTTAAAGAATCTCCTATTTTTTTCGCACCACAGACCTTACCAAATACAAAGGGGAGTGGCCCTCCAAGCATCTCTGACTCGACTTTCCACTCTCCATCCTTTCTAAGTCTTTAACAAGTCGACCGTGGATTTTGGGAACACCCATGGAAGACCAAACGCAACCCAAAACATAGCCCAAACATCCCTAGCTACTGAGCAATGAATAAGGAGATGGTTGACAAATTCCCCCATCTTCTTGCACATGTAACACATGTCAACCACAATATGACTTCTTTCTCTAAGGTTATCAATAGTAAGGCTACTTCCCAAAGTGACAGTCCACGAGAATAATGCCACCTTCAGAGGAGCTTTTGTCCTCCAAATGGCTTTCCAAGGAAACATAGGGCCAGGGCGCTCCAACATGCATTTGTAGAAAGAATTGACCTCGAACACTCCTCTCGGGGTACCCACCCACAACATCTCGTCCATTCCCACCCTAACCACCACCTGTTTATAGATGAATGCTAGGAAGTCTGTAACCTCCAACAGTTCCCAATCGTGAAACTGTCTGCGGAACTACACATCCCAAGTCACCTTCCCATTATCGAGTCGATAATAGTTAGCGACCACCGCATCTCTAGCCATAGCAATCCGGTAAATGCGAGAGAATCTACTGGCTAAATCTGAATCCCCACACCATTTGTTTTCCCAAAACTTGACATTACTTCCGCTTCTAACTTTGAACCGAATACGTTTGGAGAATTCATCCCAACCTCTACGGATAAGTTTCCAAGAGCCCATACCTGCTAGGGTTCTAGGCTCCTAGCCTCCCTAGAAATCCACCCTTCATCGCCCTCCCCGTAATGACAAGCTATAACACGCCTCCAAAGCTTGAACCTTTCTCTCCCGAACCTCCACAACCACTTGCCCAACAATGCCTTATTAAACACATCTAGCCTTCGAATCCCCAAACCCCCTTTATTAATTGGAGAACACACCCTCTCCCAGTTAACCAAGTGGTACTTGAACTCACCTCCTACACCCCCCACAGAAACTTCCTTTGAATATTATCAAGTCTTCGAACAACTGTCTTAGGCATCGGAAATAGCGACATATAGTAGGTCGGAAGATTTGAAGTGTGCTTTTCATAAGTGTAACCCTCCCCCCTTTGGACAAGTATTGCTTTTTCCAACTTGCAAGCCTCTTCCCAAACCGCTCAACAATCGGATCCCACACAGAAACTCTCCTTGATGAGGCCCAAAGGGAGTCCCAAGTAGGAGATCGGAAAAGAGCCAACCCCACACCCCAGAGTATGCCAAGGCATGAATATCATCCACCTCTCCAACTGGTACAATCTCGCTTTTCACAGTGTTAATCTTCAACCCTGAAACAACTTGGAAGCAGGCCAGTACGCACCGTAAATACCTCAACTGAAGGTGGATAGCATCACAAAAGACAATGGTGTCATTCACAAAAAGCAGGTGGGAGATGACCAACTGATTTGGAGCTTTACCCACCGAGAATCCATGAATGAACCCAAGATCACCCGCCCTCCCCATCAGATGGCTAAAGGCCTCCATGATGATAATAAATAAGAATGGGGAAAGAGGGTCCCCCTGCCTCAATCCAAGGGAACTAGCAAAAAAACCAGCTGGGGATCCATTCACTAAAACAGAGAATCGAGCAGTCGAAATACAGAAAAAAATCCACGACCTCCACTTTTGCCCAAAGCCCATTCTCTCCCTCAGGTACATCAAAAAATTCCAGCAAATATGATCATAAGCCTTTTTGATATCCAGCTTGCAAACAACCCCCGGAATACCACTTCTCTCCCTAGCCTCAATGCATTCACTAGCAATCAAAATTGAATCCAGAATTTGACGCCCTCCACCAAATGCATTCTGGGAGTTTGAAATCACCCCTTTGAGAACTCTCCACAACTGAAGACTTTTGCAATAATTTTATACACCACCCCAACAACACTAACTCCTTCGCCTCACATGCTCCACCCTCTTTGGGAATAAGAGTGATGAAGGAAGTGTTGAGGCTCTTCTCAAAAGAACCATGCAGAAAAAAAGAATCCAATGCCCCCATCACCTCAGCCTTCACCACCTCCTAATTCTGATGAAAGAAAGCTAAAGTAAACCCCTCCGGCCCTGGAGCTTTATCCCCATCACAGCTTCTTAGAGCCGCCAACTCCTCATCTTCCCCAAACGGCATTTCAAGCCCGTTTCTATCGCCTTCCGAGATTGTTGCAAACTCAAGCTCATTTGAAAAGTTGTTCATTTGAACTAGACTTGGTTTATAGCGTGCCCCTGTAAAGAGGTGATGATATGCTGTGTTTACATTTTTCTGAAGGAAAGAGGCATTGAAGGTTACAATGACAGAGAGGGCTCTTTCTGCAGTGAGGTCCTATGTTCATATAGAGTAAATTAAATAGAGGAGTCCTCTCCTTCTGAAAGCTTCTAAGGACTAATCCATGTGAGGGAGCCTTTAGTTTCTGGGAGACGTTGATTCGCAAAAGATGGAATTTTGCCAGCGGTGGGATTCATGGGCGTAATAGGAAACTATGATTTGTAGTCTCTGCCTATTTTTACATGTCAATTACCTTACTTCTGTTTTTGCTTCATGTTCTTTTTAAATATTGGAGATTATAGCAGAATAGGTGGTTTATTTTTGCAGTATTTCAATTAAGCTCAACATTTCTGGAAGGGGAATTGTAGCATCAGGCTAGATTGTTTGTCAGGAACCTTTTATTATGACCCCCATAGTAATTATTCAATTAATTTGTCAGTTCCATTGAACAAGATTATGTGCCATGTAGACCACTTTCTTGTGTATTTCTGGTATTCTCCATCCCTTAGAATGAATACTGTTGTTATAGGTGGAATATGAAGCATCCGGAGTGAGCTTTTGGTAGAAATAGCTAGGGGCACTTCCATACAGGATCTTCATGCAAGGTTAACAAATTACTTCAGAAACCCCCCCCCCCCCCCTCATTTTCTTCTCTCTCTCTCTCTCTCTCGTGTTTTCAAAAACAAACTCATGAGATGGTGGATAACAATTAGGAAGTGCGAAAAATCGAGAGCCCACTTAGTGACACTGACAGTGCTCCCTTGGCTGTTTTTCTTTGGTAGAACACTTCCATTGATTTTAAAAGTGACATTTATATTGGGACAGAGGGAGTATTATTTATAAGTAACATATCATAAAATAGCGCTTGAAAAGGGAGCATAACCCAAATAGAAAGCTCACAGCCAAAACAATATGCTATATCCTCAAAATATCCCTAAAATTATCATATCTTCTACAAATTTACAATTTCAACCGTTTACCATAACAACTAACAAAAATAAGAATATAGAAAGAATAGAGAATTTGAGTGCCCAAGTAGGAGTCTCCTTCCCATCAAGAGATCTCCTATTACTCTCTCTACCAAATACCTGACCAGGAGCAAAGAGGAGCAATTTTCCAAGCATCTCGAACTTGCTTCTATTGTACTTTCTCTTCAAGCTGTAAGCATGCTGTTTGTAGAATGAGGCATGACCAAAGAGACACCAAAGCAGGCAAGAATAAAGCCCTATCTGTCCCTAGCCACTGGGCAATGCAAGAGCAGATTGTTCACCGACTTCTCATCCATCTTACACATACAACACCAATTGATGATCAGCTACGCTGACTCTGCCTTCTCCTGAGGTTTATCAATGGTCAAAATCGCGTTTCTAACTCGTATAATCGCACGATTTTACGATCCAACATGCCCAAATCGATCCGAATCACCTAAAAATCGTTGCTTGTGTAGAATCGCTGGGAGTGTGGGTAGAATCGTGGGATTGTACGATTCTATACGATCCCAGTGATTCTAAATTACTCCATGTTTGTGGTCTTGTTTTGGGTTTAAGAGTTGTCAGAATAAGAAGAAGCCCTAGATCGATTAGCATAGTGCCACAATTCCTTCTCTTTCGCGGTCGACAAAGCAGCTCCGACGAAGAGATCAGATGCCTGAGGAAAAAAAAAAAGGAAAAAAAGAGTCGCTGGGGTTTCGGTGAAGAAGAAGAAGAAGCGGAGGATGA